CAAGGGCCCTTATCTTTCACTCAGTACCTCCCCACATCAAGGGCGGTGGGGTAGCCTCGTGGTTAAAGTATTTGCTCATCACACTGAAGACCCGGGTTCAATTACCCACATAGGTTCAATTTGTGAAGCCCATTTCTGGTGTCCCCACCATGATATTGCTGGAATATTGGTAAAACTAACAGCGGTGTAAAAAGTGGTCTAAGGACACCACCATAATCTGTTCAACCCTACTTCCTTTGTCAGAATGGTCATTGATCAGTATTTGATGTCAATAAAAATAAAAGAACAGTTTAACAGTTTTTCAGTTCTAACGAAACTGACAAACCATCTCCACCTACAACTGTCCATGGCCTGTCCCCAAATGAAAGTGTCCCCCAAACCCAGCCACCATGTAAACAGCAAGCAAATCCCTACCCCATTCACAAGCCACCCTCTTTGTTGTGTAGCACATTAGAAATGCTATATGGGTATGAATGGCTCTACCCAGTCGAGCGACTCAACATACTGTCACTTGACCTTAACCTTTGTCTTCAGTGAAAGAATGTGCACCGGTAGTCCGGAGTTGACAGACATAGATAACCCAGCTCAGCAAGCCACTGCAGTTTCATCAGGATCCTATCTGGCTTTAACTTTAATGGCATTCCTCAAATCACTGACCCCTGACCCAGTCAGGTCAAAGGTCAGATGTATTCTGGAACGGATGATAAGATTTGCCTCGATGTTTATCAAACTTTTCCTGGAGTGGATGATAAGATCTGAATACATGTTTATCATATATTATTTCTTACAAATTTTAAGAGGAATTTTTTTCTTCAATATAATATATTTTTTCAAGTAAGTACTGAAGGCATATGTATACGTTAAGTGTCATGGTATTTGATTCAATTATTACATGATAATTAGTTTCAATCATGCATGGAGTGTATTTAATTAATACAGAGAAAAAAGCCGACGCAAATGGCATCTTTCTCAGCTCTATAGACACTTGGTTACGACAATATTGTGTGAACCAGACTTCCATGGAGAGGAGGGCTAGGTAAACTCCACTGACTATTCTATAATGGCCTAAACCAAAGATGGCAAAAAAATTACCATCATCGCTAATGTACTACAGTCGTCATCAAGATGCAATAGGGCCAAAAGAAGAAAAGAATATGAGCGAGTGTGTGTATGTGGTATTACATTCTTGTAGCTGACATGATGAACAAATGCTTTCACTACTTGGCTGCCAACCTCTAAAAACTCTCTACAACCAATCATTTAGCTTTATGATTCTGCAGAAGTAGTTGACGAGAAAACACTTTTGTGTGATACCTGAATTCTAAGTACCTGATATATGTACATTTGGGCCAAATTACCATCATCAAAGTGAAGAATTTTAAATCTTCCTCAGCATGCATTGTAACCACCATCACCATCAGCCTGTAGCATCTAAGGCAATATCACTTTAAAAAAACCACAATAATGTATCTCCCAAATATACCAATGTTTGAAAACATAATTAAATCTGCCACTTGCTGAGGTATATGTACATACAGGTTTATATTTCTCTTAAAAATGTGTCCTTGTTTCGCATAAAACAATTTGTCAAAATAGCTAGTATAAAATGAAAAAGGTCTTATTTCTGACACTGTTCTCAGAAATATAGCACTTTCATAGACAGTGTGAGAAAGTTCACAGTTTCCCTGTTTCCTTAAATAAAGTTGTGAAAGTTGCTTCATAATAAACACAAGCTTCATGGCTAAGATCCAACACTGGACATGAATTACATTGTTATGGCTTTATTGCATATGCACATACCAAAATGTGGTACTGTGGAGACTCTTTCACATTCAGCATTAACATCCCCCAAAATAAGCCATCAGTAACTCACAAAAGTACACCTATTTTTAAAAGAAAAATTACAGTCAAATATTTCAATAATTTATGTTTAGTTAGGTTGCCATTCTGACTTAAAAAGCAAAAAATATATATCCAAGATATACCAGCTCTGAAGAACACCAGTTACACTGACATTTTTCGTCACCATGACGACAACATATGTCAACACCAGCACCTGACAGACAGCCTGAGAGGTGAGATGTTACCACTGAGGATAACATGACAAGATACTGTGAAGTGATCCCAGTTATGCCTCAATATGACCCCTGACCTGACCTCTGACCTGTACCGACTGTCGCATGCTGTTGAAGTCTTGTTAATGGAGGCTGAAGTATGGTTAACCAGCCACAGCAGCGGTCAGAGAGGGGGGGACACAAGAGGGATGTTAACACTATAATCTTGTCTATTGTTTAAATAAAACTAATTTGTGTAGCTTGTTGTTGATTCATTTATTTTCAACTTTGTGCATGGTTCAAGACTGTAACTGTTTTGACGGACATTCAGTAAGGGGGCGTTGGGGCAGCCTAGCGGTTAAAGCGTTCGCTCGTCACGCTGAAAACCTGTGTCCGATTCCCCACATGGGTACAATGTGTGAAGCATGTTTCTGGTGTCCCGCACTGTGATATTGCTGAAATATTGCTAAAAGTGGCATAAAACCATACTCACTCACTCATTCCGTAATCGAGTGCGTGAGTGAAAAAGGTCTTAAGTCACTTTTAGCAATATTCCAGCAATATCATATTACTCATTGTGCCCATATAGGGAATCGAAACCCGTTCTTTGACATGAGTGAGTATGGTTTTTTCACCACTTTTAGCAATATTCCAGCAACATCACGGCGTGGGACACCAGAAATGGGCTTCACACATTGTACCCATGTGGGGAATCGAACCCGGGCCTTCAGCGTGATGAGCAAACACTTAAACCACTAGGCTACCCCACCCACCCCTTTGACATGATGTGGGAACGATGTAGCCACGAGGCTACCCGCCACCCCCAGCTGCATTCCGACAGTCTTGAACAAGTGATACAGTTACACGATACACCTATAATATACCTGACATAAGTACATACAATTACCTGTGTATATCACTATAATTAGAGTACCTGTATGATTATGGTCGATCGAGGTCACCAGCTGTCACAGTTCACATCTCAACAGGGGATGTCAACATATAACACTAATATAGCAGTATATTTTCAGGGTCAACTCTGTACTGGTACAACTTTATGCATATTGCAGGGTATGAAACTCCCAAACATTTCAGCCAGACCACAGGGCTGGTTAGATGTAAAACTTGCCAGCCCTGACCAAAACTTACCTGCCCGCAAATAATTTAGGCTTGACAAGCGACGCAGTTTATCCTCCAATTGGAATTCATCATTTATTTTTACGAGTGAATTAATAATGATATATTATCCTGCAATATGATGAATATCTTCATATACATGTCTAAATTTTAACCCGACAGTCGGGCAGGAGAATTTGAGAATCTGGCAGTCCGTGTTGAAAATAACCCAAATAACGGGATTGGGCAGGCAGGTATTTCGAATGCTGCATATTGATAGTAAATAGATAATCAACAGCCCAAAAATGTTTTGCACTTATTAAAAATATGACAAACAAAGACAACGAAAAGGCATCAAATTCCATCTTAAACATTAAATTGAGTCAGCTTAGTTCACATTTTGTATAAAAATTGCAGGTTTACATTGGAAAATTTTATCTACAAACATACAGAATAACTGAATTTATTGATTATTATTTTTATTGCTATTTTTGATATGCTGTGATACATTTAAGTCATTATAAGTCGATAATAAAATTTCCAATCAATGACATCCAGAACCTCAACACTTCATTAATGAGTTTAACTCTGTCATTTCATTGGACAGCCAACATTACAACAGGCACAACTTATCCGGAAATATGTACATACTCAAGGATTACAGAGTTCAAGAATATAAAGAATTGAAAAGTTCAAGAATATAAAAAGGAAATGAGGAGCTAAACAATTCTCATTAGAGATGCTGGGAAACTGAAATACGAGCGTCCCATTTATTTGTCACAAAATGCTAAGAAACTAGATTTTTGTGGCCTAACTGTCATGTTTACATTTATAGAATGTATAATTATGTCATCCATAACACCTCAAGATAAAATAACAAAACAAGAACTAAAAATAGGAATTTATCACCAGCATCCACTTTGGTGTAAGTTTGTAATGATCTTTTCCTGACAAACTGATAAACATTATCTTTTATCAGGAAATGCCCACTTAATGAGAAGCAATTATATGGTATCGCTGTTACATACGTAACTGAACAGTTTTCCCACTGACTTCTAAAAGAATCACTAGTGGAATTTCCTGTTCTTTCTACACCCACCACTCCTCTACATATTTCTGCTGTCAAAGATTTTTTTGTATTTATTCCACTACGGTAGCAACCTGTTGTTCAAAGGTATCCTATTTCCCTATCACCTGGTATAGAAATGCAGCTATTTCCAGCATAAACAATGTTGCAAATGTTTGAACAACATATCCATGTGCCAATGTTATATCTTTACGTAGTGTTAGGCCTGGAAACGAGTATCCCACCTAATACTTTGTCATAACCCCCAATATGTGGTTGCCGGCATTGTACAGCCCCGTATCATATTACACAGTTGATGTCTATATCACTTCGTGAGTATGTCTACAGTAGTATATTGCTGTCAATCAAGTACATATGTAATCATCTGGCCAGTGTGTTAAGTAGGTGAAATGAAATATAAAAACATTATTGGCTTGGCCGTGAGGCAAGTTCGTGTTACAGGTATTTTGAGCACGCGCTTGGCTTACCCATATATAGCAAGCGATTCCTTACCACAGGCAGATAATTGGCCGAACGAGGACCTCGCTCTCAACTATCTATCTAACGAACACCATCGGGTTTGCAACTGAACCGTGAGAGAAAAACACAGACGTTTCATCATAACAATGTTTAGTTCAAATAAGTCACGACTCCGATTTTCGTTTTAGTGATGATTTAAATACACCTTGCGAGTTTTCACAGATAACTGTCATCCATCGGACAAAACAGATGAGTTTGGGATGTGTCAATGTATATGTACTTACAACTTGCACTGAGAGGGGGGTGCTGAAATCCGTGCCACCCTGTAAACGGAATCCCCATGGGGTGCCGGAATCTGGACGGCCCAGTTGGACCGTCATTGTCTCAGCTGGCTGAAATTCGATGTTACTCATGGCGACGTCAGTGACAACGGTAGCGGGTCCGACGTAAGTACTCAAAGTCGATGAGCCACTTCGCAGCTTTATCTAACTCCTCGCCACTGAGGGGACGGCTTCGGTGGAAACAAACTTTTGCACACGGGCCTATCTGATGCGTCAGTCAGCCGCGGGAAAGAAGTGGGTGTGACTGAATGTGACAAGTTTAGGGCTGCGGAAATAGTTGAAATGGACGTAATTAGGCCCATGTTACTGACCTATTAGGTAGCCGATTTTACGTGGGGTTTGTTTGTATTGCAGGGGTGTCTAGGGTCACACGCTTGACTTGTAACGCCCGTGTAACAAAACCAGTGCAACGGCGGCTCTGATCAAATCTGCGTCCTGTTTATAGAAAGTCTTACAGTTCATAGGAAAAAGTCATATGAGCTTATTATTAATAACATTAATTTAATAACTCTGTTGCTTCACGGTTGTTGTGTTTTTTTTATTTTGTTGCTGCTAATTCAAACAACAAAATATGTTATATTTACATTTGTTGTCATTTTTTGGTATAAGAAATATTTTGATAGAAAATCATCAAAATAACTGTTGGTGCTAGATTTTATAATTTTGTGTATTTTGTTTAGTAAAGGAATACATATTTACTTTAAAATTTTACACTTTGTTGCGTTGTGTACAAGTTTCTATGTTTTTGAGGGTCTTGGGGTAGCCTAATGGTTAAGCGTTCGCTCGTCACGCCGAAGACCCGGGGTCAATTCCCCACAAGCGTACAATGTGTGCAGCCCATTCCTAGTGTCCTCCGCCGTGATATTGCTAAAGGCGCCGTAAAGCCAAAACTCATTCACTCATGCTATGTTTTTGATACCCAATCTTAAGGACTGTAGGAAACGAACCATCATTGGCATGTTTTTTTGATGACTATGAAATCGGTGGAGAAAACAGGTTTGGTAATATGCTAGGAAGTAAGATAATATCTACATGTGGCAATACAAATGTGCAATGGCTTGGTGTGGGATATTATTTTTGCTAAAAACGGATCACAACTAACGGAGCATAATGTCATTAAGTTGGTACTTAGAAGTAGATAAACAGAACTCATTGAGTTAAATGTTGCTCATTCTGTAAACACACCCACACACACACACACCACACTTCACAGTGAAACCTTATTAATCAACTACTTTCTGGGCGATCTGATTTGAGAGATATAAACGAACACCACCCAAAAAATTGTAGTTAGAATTTGTCCATGCCACGACTTCCTTCGAACCAGGTGTCCGGATTAACAAGGGGTCCGGTACATACAATTAGGTTTGGTCGTTAATTTTTCCGTTTCTACAAAGCGGGTTGGTGTTATCACTGAATCGGCGAACGAACGTGTACACATACCACAGCAAACACATTAAAGCTACTGTTGAAATAACTTTTTTTTTCCTGATAAACGTGCTCTTATATCGTCAGTTGATGTAACTGTATCGTGAAACGAAGCTTCCATATGGTGACTCAACTCAGACCAAACACACCCATTAAACATTTTGTACATGTGTTGCAGTTTTGGGTCATATTCAATCGGGACTTTTCGTTCCCGTGAAGATCTGGGTTAGAATTGGTCTTCAGCAACCCATACTTGTCGTAAAAGGCGACTAACGGGATCGGGCTCACTGACTCGATTGACACGTCATCGTAAATCGATGCTCATGATGTTGATCACTGAATTGTCTGGTCGATTATTTAAAGACCTCATTTTAGCTCGGAGATTGCTGAGTGTGGCGTTAAACAACAAACAAACAAATCCGTTCCGTTTATTTATGAGAATTTCTCAGTAAAAAAAATATAATTAAAGGAATACCATATACCCGCCATGGGTATACACATACTTCAATAAAACTATAACTTTCTGTCTAATATACCATATAGGGTGGAATTGTATTTGGACAATCGTTTTCTGGGGCTATAATACGCTGTGGAATTCTCTTTTAGACCGGGTCTCAGGGTCTCCTTTATGGTATTTACCATTCGAAACGTGCAGTTAATTATAAATAAAATTAAAAAACAGTTCCTTTGGAATTATGCCATTAATTCTGGCAAGTGGTAGGCAGATCCTGATACACACCAGATTACAAAATCACATGCAGATGGGTCGGGGAGGGTGTTAAAGTCTGAACTGAATCAGTTCTTTCATGGAGATTGTACGGACGCTTCGTTCGGTCCGGAAACCCATTCTTGTTCCAGCTTTTGACAAACGCATTTTCGACAATATTGTCGGGTGGTTCACTGAAACACGAAATAAGTGACACGCTATCAAGAATTAAATACACTTTAATCTTTTTCTTACCTACTATATTCGTAAGAATATTAGTGAGTTTTATCTGTTTTACCTAGAAATCATTTCACCACGCATCCAGCCAGTTTTGTTGTGAGATGAAAGAAATGAAACAAAATCCGAGAAATAAACCTTCATCCATTCTGCATTGTTTGGATGATAACACTCACGTTGCATCCCTAAGATCACTTTATGTTTCGGCTTTACTGTTTTTTTCTGACTAATGTTGTAACATTAGCACACACAATACACGACAAATGTTTTTACATATTTTAAAAATAATTTTGATAAAGTAATAACTGTAAAATGAGCAATTAAAAGTTCATTTTATTGTCGGTTTTTCTTTAAAGATGTATGTTTCTTGCGTGTTAATTAAAACTTACATGCAACCAATAGGGTTTCTTCGTATAATATTGTGTAGCTGGCTCTATATGCTTACTTATATTATGTCAACGCAATAATTAATATTTATCCTTATAATACTTCGCGTTTGCAAGTACAGGGAGTAATGGTGTTATTGTATCATTAACATATATTAACACAGCTATAGTGAAAAGATCTTGGAATTACGAAATTGTGCTGTTGCTGGCACGAAGTGAGTATTTGGTCCGGTAAACGTAGTCCGGCTTCAACAAGACGAGGACGAAATGTCGTCGGCTATATTCCTCCTCAAAATAGTGTATTATTGCGTCCCAGTTCACTGATATTTCGATTGTATGGACCATGTGAATAGAGTTCCTGTACAGAAAGTATGTAACCAGCAATAGATGACTTATCTGGTTCGTATCACGTAAATTAATCTTTAACAGGGTATACTTTAAAAACCGGACAAGTATTTTGAGACGATGTTTCTGTTTTATGGCACAACTGTGTAAAAGTTTTAGCGTGTGAACACTGTATTGTGTTGTCGTTTGAAAGATAAAATCACAAATCATGAGATGTCCATTTGGAACAGTTCCTAGAATCTGGAAACGCATTATGCAAGCGTTATAAGTCTTCTTTGACTGAAATCATAACTTCACGTCACGGATATTGACTATTTTCATTTGGTAGATCAAGTGCACTGAAGTCAGGGGATAGAAGTCAGCACTAACATGTTAATTTATCAGTACATCAGTTTGTGTAAAACCATCAACCTACTCCAGAGAAAACAAATGAAAGTCCTATAAAACCTGACTGTGTGTTTTGACTTAGTGTTGGTCCTCAGCTCAACCTTTTTTGGTTTGTTAGATTGTTTAACGCTACACTCAGCAATATTGAAGCTATTCGGTGGCAGACTGTAAATAATGGAGTCTGGACCAGACAATCCAGTGATCAACATCATGAGCATCGATCTACGCAACAGGAATACGATGACGTGTCAACCAATTCAGAAGGCCTGACCACCTGTCCTCATGAGTTTCTGAAGACCAATTCTAACCTGGATCTTCACGGGTCTGCTGGTCTGCGAGGCAACACATGGATCATGTTGTCAAGCTCAGTGACCTGGTCAGTTGGGTGTTTATTGTACCCACACATCATGGTTTGTTCACAATATCACTGGTTTGTCTGGTCTAGACTTGATCATTCACAAGCCAAAACAACCAACCTAAAGGAAGTGCTAAAGTATTTGATGTCCTGAGCTGCCCCCCAGCTCTGCAATGTTTCAGTGGGAATGACAACTGTTTATGGGTGATCAACTTCTTTGTTGTACTATTGTGATGTTTCGGTATAGATGCTTATACCGTTTCCAAGCATGAGATGGAGAATGAGTACAGCAGGATATATATAGGGTACATGAGGGCTAACAAAGACAATGGATCATAAAAACAAGATGATTAACAATGAAAACAAGCTTAAGTATACATGAGATAAGCCAAGGCAAGATAACAACATGATGAATAGGATACCAGTAGGAGTGGAGATAACTAATTAGCCGAAGGCTTAGTTAGAGAAGCCAGAGAGAGGGAGATGGGGTTAATTAGTTTTGGATTAGGTTCAATGTTTCAGTGTATGATAGTTTGTTATTTCTTTGACAGATCAGTTTGCCTGCATTACCACCGATCTGCCAAGAGGAATGTTGTCAACATCATCATGTATATGTGGGAAAATACTCCTCCGCCATCTTCAGAATACCTCAGCTGTGACCACGGAAACAGTGTACCGTACAACCATATCAAAAGTGTGCGATAAATCTCTTACCCACAGAACAATACATTCATCCTCTTGTAATACAAATCAAAATGACAATGAAGCTGTGATACAAACTAAAGCTGGTACAGAATCAAAAGTGATGGAGATGCCAAACCCACCCTTAAGACTCAGGGTGTGGTACCAGGGAAAGGTCCCCCTCCCGAACCTCCCGTTGACTGTTGCATGAGTGGATGTGCGAACTGTGTGTGGATAGCGTACGCAGAATCTCTGAAGGACTATTACAGTGATGGTGGGAAGTCAGCTCGAGAAGCTTTGGAGCAGATTGAGAACCCTTCTCTTAAAATGTTTGTCAAATTGGAGATGGGATTATTATGATGATACTCAAATTTTAATAGTTAGAATCATTTCAGAAATGATGAATGTGTTACACCCTTGTCTGTCAACTTCAGATCATCTTCAGTTATTCGGCATTGTATAGCTCCCTTTTATTATAACAAGTACACAATTCATATTTGCTGCTATTTTTCAGAGAAGTGACATCATCATCTCTGTAACTTGTATCACTGACTTAGCGCAGAATGTACCTGGTGTAGCTTGAGTCACAAAATGAAGCTAAATTGGTGAATGGATTTATTTTCAGTAATAAAATGGAGATATATGCTGGTTAATCGAGGATAATTTTTAACAGCACAAATTCAGAAGACTTATATACCATTAGTTTTGAAGTGATGCACAGAGACTCTAATCAGAGGTATTCATAATGTTTAACCAGTATTTCAGTGATATCACAGCATGCCAGCTTGGGCTAAAAGAAAATGTGTTCCTGGTTTAACTTCAGATAAACCAGAAAATCATTATCTTCAAGCAGGCTTTTTCTGCAAATTGCCATGTTTGAAATAGAAACCAGTAAAAAGAAACTTATTATATTTTGGGATAGGCTAAAATAAAAAAATGTTGGGAATTAAATTCAATAGTGATGGAGGTCACTGATGATGACCACTTACAAACCAAGTGTGATCTGCTTTAAAAGGGCCATTTAGAGAAAATGTTTTAAGTGGAGATGAACCAAGATTGTTCAGCTCCTTGAATAACCTTTTCCAAACATAGCATAACTGAAAGAGGAATGTTTGAGAAAACTCAGGACTTGAAATGTCAAATTTGACAGTCACACAACCATTAACAAACTTATTTTGTGTGTTTCCCGCTGAGGACATAAATCTGTGATGTTGCATTTAAAGGAAATACTCAGCAAAGTAATAGCTACATACATTTTTTCAGGTTTTATCTATTTTGTTATTCATATGTTGGTTACATGTTAGAACAATTTGTGGCTTTGTTGATACCTGTTCATAAAGAGACGTCTTTGTATCATGTTTTTCTTTATTACCTTTGTGTGTGTTTAATCTGTTGTGCACATTTAATAACATTTTCATAAAAACAATAGACACCTCCAATAGATGATTTGTTTGTTGTTTAACGCCGCACTCAGCAATATTCCAGCTATGTGGCTGCAGTCTGTAAATAATAGAGTGTGGACCAGACAATCTAATGAGCAACAGCATGAGCATCGATCTATGCAATTGGGATACAATGACATGTGTCAACCAAGTCAGTGAGTCATACTGACGTGATTCCGTTAGTCACCTCTTGCGACAAGCATGGGTTGCTGAAGACCAATTCTAACCCTGATATTTCAAGTTTCCAAGAGATGAGAAACATCTTGATCATATATGATGTAACAGTTCGTCAAGCTCTGTAGTGGTCCAGGGAATGGTTCATGGATGACCTCTGTATTCAGAACACATCCTTGGTTGTCCAGGGTGTTTATTTTATTAGTATACATATCCTGGACGCAATTACCACGATAGCTTCCTGTAAAAACATGTCACCATCTCCACATCTCTTATCACTATCTTGGGGTGGTGGGGTAGCCTAGTGGTTAAGGCGTTTCCATTCATCACGTTGAAGACCCAGGTTCTATTCCCAACATGGGCACAAACTACAATGAGTGAAGCCCTTTTTGGATGTCCCCTGCCCTTGATATTTCTGGGTGAGTGAGTTAATTTAGTTTTACGGTGCACTCACAATATACCAACTATATGGCGGGGTCTGTAAATAATCGAAGTCTTAAGCAGACAATCCAGTGATCAACAGCATGAGAATCGATCTACACAATTGGGATACTGATGACATGTGTCAACCAAGTCAGTGAGCCTGACCACCCGATCCCATTAGTCGCCTCTTGCAACAAGCATGGGTTACTGAAGACCAATTCTAGCCCGAGTCTTCATGGGTCGATATTTCTGGAATATTGCTAAAAGCTGCATAAAACTATACTCTTATCACTAACTCAACACAAATATCTCTTGTTTGTGGGAGTACGTTTTATTGGACCTCTATATTAAGTGTCACGTCAGTGGCCTATGGTAGCTAATGGGTCATACAATTAAACATCATACAATGGAGGGGCAATGCCATGCTGTAATCAAGGATATTGAGAACACTAACGCTGAGGATTTTCTGAAAAGTCGTGGAGCCTGAAGCCATTGATGCAATTAGATACATTACTTGTCAGTTCTCAGACCATTTATCCCTCCTCTGATTCTGTCAGCAATACTTGTCAGTGCACTTTATGTGTCTGGTATCTACCGGTACTTAGCTAACAAAAGTGAACCTCAGGTGTACCCAGGAATATCTGTTTTATGTGATGGTTAGGCTTCTTACAACTGCATAGTAAACTTTTAAAAATTATTGCGATTGTGGTTTGAAATTTAAGACTTCTTGAATTCTATTTTCATATCATGTTTCTCAATTTGAAAGAAAAATCTGTGAATTTAAAGTGTAATAAATGTCTCATAATTGGTGTCAAAGTTCAACTTTATTTTATCAGCTCTCTGGAGTTGGACAGATATTGATGAACTGGACTCTGTTCATTTTGAAGAACATTCCATGATGAGACTTCTCTCACACACGTCAGAAGTCATTTCACCAAACCTTTCACTAGATTAGACTTCCTACCAGTGTTCTCATTTCATATATTTCCGTAAAAATGTACAATAAATTATGGACAGGCTGAGTTCAAATTTCTTTTCTACACAGGAGTGAGTGAGCGAGTTTAGTTTTACGCCACACTCAGCAACATTCCAGCTATATGGCGGCGGTCTGTAAACATTCAAGTCTGGACCAGACAATCCAGTGATCAACAGCATGAGCATCGATCTGCGCAGTTGAGAACCAATGACATGTGTCAACCAAGTCAGCGAGCCTGACCACCCGATCCCGTTAGTCGCCTCTTACGACAAGCATGGGTTACTGAAGATCAATATTCTAACGCGGACCTTCACGGGTATTTCTACTCAGGATCACAAGCTCCTACATACCCTGTTACTCGATGTGCTGTCATTCACTGTTACATTCACTGACAACATTATTCATCATCAGCTCATGAGTAAATGCAATGTTTGTCTGTGTATGATGAGCATTTCTCCCCGCTAAAAAGCAGAAGTACTAATGTGTACATGGTGATGTAACCATGGATTATTTTTTCAGTGTTAAGACATGATACAGTATTTCACAAGACTGACCTAAGGTCCTATTCAAGATCCATTTGATCTGGGTACTCGAGTTACCCGTCCCAGACCTAGTGTGTTGTCTCTGGCTAATTCAAACACTCTCACAGAATACAAACATACACTTTAAACGCTTCAGTTGGAAAAGTTAACATCCAGCACTCTACATAGAAGGGACTTTCTTCCCACTTAAATGACTGATTTGTACAAGATCTATACATATATCTATAATAGATTATATCCAAAAATATATGTAATGTCAGTTTTGTAGGTGATAAACGGATCTAAACTGTTTTCTTAATACATGGCATAACAAACTGTCATTGTTATACAAATGTTTTTGTGTGAATCGAACCCATAAAAACAAAATACATCTAGCACAAATACAAGGACATGCACGTTTAGAGTGACGTCCCTTGTCGGTTGCTATGGGACGACGACACTTCCGTCAAAGTGAAGATTTGGCTCGATCCAGTCTCCCATCTTTACGTGTATTTTTTAAACATATGTGCAACAACTTCTTAGACGATGTTACATGTCTTGAGAAGAGACAAATATTGATTTAGTTGCTGTTGTAATAATAATATATGTGATACCCTAATCGGAGCAAGTAACCAAACACTCTTCAAGCCACTTGCCAAACAAAATGTCTGTCATAACAAGGGTTCCAGAACCGAATATTTGGAATGAAATCTGCAAAGGTACTGTTATATTTGTATCACCGTCAAACTTATTTAACCGGTCATGATTTATGTATCGTGGGCTAATATGGACGCTAATATTACCAACAAAGGAAATTAGGGTAAAAGTTATGGCAATAAAAATATGGATAATAATGATGAAATTAAGCAGTTTTTGACATGTCAGATATTGCTGTAGAAGGATTTTATGTGATTTTATTGCTCATGGCATGTTTTTAAACAGATAGGACTCAGAAGCCGATTGAAGAAAAACAATATGTATGTCGAAATTTAATCTAATCGTATGTTTGCTAAGGAAAGGTACAGTTGATAACAAATTCCTATTTATTGCGTTTATCAACGTTTCCATGTAGATGTGGGTCCAGGAGATGCTCACACCATTATCAAGCTAAAGTACAACAATACTAGATGCAATAAACAAGAAGTTGTTATCCATAAAATTGTATGTTTCTATATTTACTCACCAATTTCTAGAATGCCTATTACATGTTTACTTACTGAAACATTGTGATAGACTGTTTCTTGCATCACTGATGCATGATGCATGATGATGGAATCTCTTTGCTTGTAAAGTTTAGGTCGGAGGATTGGTTCAAAAGATACAGGCCATTGTTGATTACTTTTACTCTTTCTATTTTATCATAGCCTCTGTACACCTGGGGATATCTGTTGCAGTTGTTATTGTTTAGATAAAAGGACTCAACAAATCGACATACTTCTTGTTGATGTGTATTACTATGTTTACGTCTATTAATATAAAGCCATGAAGACATGGTGCACAAACCATATTATTGTGATGACATTATAGCCATAACTTTACGCAATACATAACAATACTTTATTAAGTACAATCCCAAATGTTATTTATCCCAGAGGATCCAGCATCCAATCTCTTTTGTCTGTGAACTGCAGTGAACCATAAGCAGAAGCCAAAAGGTTTACATTCCCAAGTTAATGAGATGTGTTAGTTCAGATATTTCCCAACACCATGACAATAAACATGACTTTTAGAAATATAGTCATGTCATATGACATTGCCCAAATGAGACTTTAGTCTCATACTCATATACTCATTTTTTTAGTATATTTTGTGGTGATAATCATTACAATGTCACCTGGAATCTGTCATATATTTCAACCCTTTTTCTTTTCAGAAATAGCTGGACAAAGGCCTCCTTTCCGAGAAGAAGACACATCATCAGTGCTTACAGATTACAAAGACTATGATCCTTCACTTCATCATCCAGCCTTCTATGGGAAGATGCATGAAAGAATAGAGTGTGACGCTGACCCTTACACAGAGGTCGATGTATCCACGAGTCATCCTTCCTGTATCGGCTACTCCTTCACACAGAAACCTCCGAAATCACCCTCACCACCACCTCCTCCACCTCCAAACAAAGACACTTGTATGTTATATTTCATTTATCATATGGTCATAGTTATAGATCTGGACATCTGAAGGTCTGGGATAGAATTGGTATTCATCAACAAATGCTCGCAATCTAAGTAAACTTAGGCTCAGTATTATTCGTTAATCTGCCATACTGAGTCTAACAAAACCTAGTAGAAGGTTGCATCAGTTAACCTTTCGGACTGACCAATCAGAACACTGCTTACCAAATCGCTGAAAGTTAACTTTCGCACATACGGTTTGAGCCTTTACCTCAAAAACTTGAATGATTCCGAATGCTATTTTCTGCATGATCGCTTCCAAGTGATACACGCAACGAGTAAACAGTCGCTGAAAATAGCGTTTTGTCAATATTCAAGGATGTCATCTTGCGAAAATATAAGCAAATAGTAACCATGTCATTAGAAACCTATAAGCGTATCTATACTGCAGGTTAAATATCTGTGTTTTATGTGGATTTTCGTTTGTTGATAGATCAGTGTCAGGGAAGAGAAATCCCAAAACCGTTTTGTAAGTCCCTCTGAACCCTAACAAGTAGTCATTGTCTGATTGGTTAAACCTGTTCGGCCGTCTCATGTTTGATTGGACGGTCATAGGTCACTCAAAGGTTAGCTGACGCGACCTGCTACGTAGGTTTTGTTAGACTCAGTATAGCAGTGGAACGAATAATACTGAGCCTAAGTTTACTTAGACTGCAAATGCTCGTTATAAATTAGGCTAACTAATTGGATTGGGTGGTCATGCCAGCTGACTGGGTAGATGCATATCATCATATCCCAGTTGTGTAGATTAATACTTATAATATCAACCACTGGATTGTCTGATCCAGACTTGATTATTTAAAGACTGCCGTCATGTAGCCAGAGCTCCAGATAAGATTTAGCTCATGTGGGTACTGTACCCACTGTATTTTTTTGGAGTGGGTATTATGAATGTTGAGTGGGTATTTCATTTTCTGTTACCCACTGCTTTCAAATATGTGTGTATTTCAGTCATTTTACTCACCTAGTATATGTCATTGAGTAAGTTTACTAAGCAGGTATGTTCTGCCTTATGTCATACCTAATCAAAACCAACTTTAATATAATGGAAATGATTTCATAAAAAATCACTCATCCTATACTGACAGTACAACACTTGTCCTATACTAACAGTACAACTTGATAGCAATCGATGTCTTTTTCGTTACGCAAGCTATTTTTATAAATATATTCCGTACGCATTTGTTTTAAACTTTTTGCGTATCTAACATTTTAAATGCGTAATTGGTACGCAACAATTATTTTTTCAATGCATAATTGGAAATTTTCTATGCGTATTTTACCCGGATACGCAGCTTATCTGGGCCTCTGTATAGCTGGAATATTGCTGATAGAAGTGTTAAACAATGAACAAAAATAGATCTGGAGGTCGTCAAGGCATGTCCGGATCCTGCAGTATAATCATGGGGTTGAACCACACACAGATAAGCCATTGTATCCCAATTGTGTAGATTGATGCTCATGCTGTTGATCACTGGATTATCTGGTCTAGACTCAATTATTTACAAACTGCCGCCATATAGCTGGAATATTGCTGAGTATGGTGTTAAACAACAAACCAACCAACCATAAGCATATTCATGACCTTTCTCAGCTGCATGCCTGAACTTGTGCAAAGTGGCAAACATGTAAGACTTGTATTACTTTGGGCTTCCTGCCACATTAAGCTGACACACAGAAATGCTGTCAAAGTGGCAACATACCCCTCTTAATTGAGGTAGATGTCTACTTTGTGAACAATATGTATAGATATTTTGAACAGATGACAAGCTTAATATTCATTACTGATGGTCTGTCTTGATCACACAAAGTTGGATTAAAGGCTGTAACTGTCAGTACCCCCTTAACCAAGTGAACCATTTCCTATTTCCTTATGTCAACACTTGATTGGTTGATGAAATGTAAACAAAAATCAAGAACGGGTAATTTGAGATCATGAGAACCATTAGTATGGATCAAGGGATTAGATTTATCAAAATGTGAGCCCTGAAGATATTTCCGATGATTGAGTGTACCCATCTGTTCCTGTATTGTCACAGGCACAGCTCGAGAGTATCTGGAACACTATGTCCTACCTGTATTGCTGCCAGCCCTTGAAGCGATGCTCACGACAGGCCAAAACAGAAAAATGCTTTGAGGTATAATATTCATTCAGTGGATAAAAATGTACCTAACATGATTAAATATGGATTCTGTGAGATAATAGTTATTGTATTTTCGGGGCAGTGGGGTAGCCTAGTGGTTAAAGCGTTAGCTCATCATGCCGAAGACCCATGTTTGATTCCCCACATGGGTACAATGTATGAAGCCCATTTCTGGTGTCCCCCACTTTGATATTGCTAGAATATTACTAAAAGTGGCGTAAAACCATACTCGCTTACTATTGTATTTTCAAAACTTTGTTGTAAGATTCCATGAAAGGTACTACAATAGATAATTATTATCTGTTTCAAAATATTTTAATTTGTCCACAGAGAAAGAGAACCAAATTCAACGCACTGGATTTTATTACAGAGTACTTATACAGGTAAGGTTCATGTCTTATCTAATGTGATCAGCAATCCAGGTGTTTGATTAAGTCAAAAGCTAAAGTGACCATCATTAAGATAGTGAGAATATAAAATTCAGTTTGTTTGTCTACTGTATCTGCTATATCAAGAAATCACAAAAAGATTAATTATAGCTGAAATGTATTGTGCTGTATACATACAATGGAAGTTGGATATTTTGATAGAATACACAGCTAATAAAAGAAGAAATTGCCTAATCATGTTGATATATCAAAACTACGGTTTCTTTGCTTGAAATGTAATTTGTTTGGTGTAGGCGAAAATCCCAGTACACTGACCGAGGAGATACTGACCTCTGGAGCATCCCGTTTGTGCAGGAGTGGCTGAAAGAACAGTAAGTAGTGTAGCCTGTGATGAGGACTATCTGGATATGACATAGAAGCTTTGTACCCCTCTCTCACTGTCCAATATCTACAGGTAGCTAATTCCAATCTGAAATTCACATCTTCAGAACATTCCACTAAAGTCCATGGTTACTTTTGCAATGGCCTTCACAAGCTCTGTCAGAGAAAACTTTTAGGATTATTGTGGACAATTTTATACTGCCTTGTTCCTGAACTGTGAGAACCATTTAGTAAGCAAATGAAATATTTTGATTTAAAAAGCTTTTTGTCACAAGTAATGAATTCAAAATCTCTAAGAGTTCAGTTGCCTTGGATTCTGTCTGGAAAGTATAACACATATTAAGCTGTAAAATCGATCCTTCTTGATTGTGGACTGATTACTCTGTTAATGTACAAATTTGGTTGTGATTATCAGGAAAAAAAGGAGCCAATTCCATGGTAGTGAGGTATTTTGTTTATGATTCAAAACTTTAACACATTCCCAAACTGGAAAATGTTGGTTTTACACATACCAAACCAACAGAGTTGTAACATATTTAAGTGCTGATTATGATGATGACATGTCTACTGCAGGTTAGTGCATTTAGTTCTTGGTCCTTTCATCCTCAAAATCATCTTCCCACTGTTGATGCTGTTGCATTGATCATGTCTCTGTTGCCAGTCCATCATTTCTATCATATCCGTTTCCAGCCCCCGTCCACCTCTGCCGCTGTCTCTCATCTGGACAGAGGAGGAGGCTACACTCATCATACAGTCCCACTGGAGGGGCTATCTGGTAAGTGACTTGGAAAATAAGGCCACACTGACATATACATATTGATTTCCAAGGACATCCCTGCTGAGCAATTGATGTTTAAAACATGCATAGGTTAAATGACCAACCCAGAGGTCCCAAGCACGCTCTTGCTTCCAGAAGAGGGAAGTACCTGTACAGGGTTTTACATGACGCATGATTCCTGCGTATTTGATGCAACAATTTTCTAAAAGACTCTCAAAATATTATCATACGAGTCAAGCTTGATGCAAGTTTTATCAGTGACCTTCAGAATTCAGTTCAATAAAATTGATTTGATAAGAAAACAATGATAGCTTTCGTTTTATTGCAAACTGTGTTGAAAATGCTGGTGATATTAACAGAAAGTACGGGAGTGGCTAAATATAGAGCCATGCTAGAATGCGGTAAAGATACCAGCCAATAGCATTTGAGTATGTCATTCACTATATTTAGACAGCCAATAGACTCCCAGATATTGAAAATGACTCCCAAAAATAAATACTGTGAGTCAGCATGACTCCCATTTTTCAAAGTCTGTGTAAAACCCTGCTGTACATTTGTGTATACTTACTAACAGCAAGGGATGTTGATTCTGATGTAAGCTTCTTTTTTGCCTGGCACAGATTCATTCTAGTAACATCTATGATACCACTGGAATATTGCTGACGGTGACTTAAACAAGCAAATTACAGTTTTTGTTTATAAGCACTGTGTTTGCTTGTGTGCAGGTCCGTCGGGTTCCAGAAATCCAGGAACTCCGGCAGTGGCAGAAGGAATGGCGAGAGGAGAATCAGGGGATCCAGACCCGTGTCAGCGACTTCTGGGACAAGCAGATGCCAGACTGGGACAAACCAACCCCCAATGCCTCCAAGACCAAACTGGACACGGAGGGAGATATTCCCCCAGCAGTCGAGTCCCCGACTCCCTCCCAGTAGAGAACTGTCACCATTGTCTTGATGTTGTATCACCATGTGTTGATGTGTTCCATTGCTTCCACAGGATGGTGTGTGATCTGTTCACAGGACATCTTGTTCAGACCTTTATTTTGTATGGAAGTAACTTTATGGGTACAGAGAATGAGCAACTAAGGATGATGAATATACTTTTCCAGTCATGCAGTGATATTTTTAAAGCTGTAGGTTGAAGGCCTCTTTGATCAAGACATTGTTTTCTGCCACTTCATAATCCCCCAAAATGTCCTCTCCGAAGGGAATGAAAGTAGATATTTTTAATGATTATTAAATTTCCAGCCTCAATTCAAAACCACATTACAGTCTCTTACATTGTATTGAAGATTTATTTCCATTTTACTTCAAATTCTGGAGTGATAAAAATGGTAAATGTGCAAATTTTATCCCTTGGGATTCACAAATGCTTTGAATCCAACAAATAATTTTACTGCTCTGGACCCATTTGCACAAAGCAATCTTAGAGCTAGGATGATCATAATTCCCATACTCTAACATAGCCTGAGATAGTCGTGGCACTAAGATGACTTTGTGAAAGTGGGCATCGCAGTTTGTTGCAAGTATGTATTTTATACAACATTTAATGTCTGATTATAATCAGCTGAGCTATATAATAGACTGATTAAGTCGAACTTATGACTATATTGACGTAAAAACTTGGTCCTTGCGTACTCAAGTCATCATTTTGCATTGCATTTTGTGTCAAATCTTGGATAGCTGTAAGTATTTATGCAGGGCCCATCCACACTACAGTGTTTGGCCAAAACTTGTAAATGAAGTTCAGGACAGAATACATTCATCTTGGCTGTTTTTTTTCATATTAGAGGACAGAATGTTGTTGACGATCTTTGAAATATGGTATGACAGTTACATAGCACAGATTGTTTTGTAAACATATACTTCTGTTTGGAAGCTACCTTATCAATTATGTTATGATGGTTTGCAAGTTTGTGTACATATGTACATTATGTGAATTTGTATTTTCTGCCTCTGTACATATATTAACTTGTTCAAATTGTTATGTTTCCTGTGAGTTGAAAATGTCACTCCAGTGTTTCACAGTGAGAAATAATAAAACAAAATCAAAACTTTCTTCATATGTTTATTGCTTTCCTATATCAACTGAATTTTTTCAACAAAATGAGAAATTACAAACTGCAAAAGACAACTTTCAGTGTTTTTTTCCCCATCTGTGTACATACAAAACTGTTTTTTCCCCACTGTATTATCAATAGGTTTCAAGGAATGAAAGATAAAATTTATGCCTTCATGACAATTTTCATTAACTGGTTGTGATTGACAAAATGTGGCTCTAAGAACAATTTCACTAATCATTCTGAACCTTGCAATGTTAGCAACAAAACTATATTAACTTCCAAAACTAATTCCTAACGCAAACAGCAGTAAGTTAGCGAACAAATCATGAAAAAATCAAACAGTTCACAAACCCTTTTCCACCCTTTCAGGAAATTCAACACTGTCCAGATTACAAATTTACCCTTTTTAATGCCGGTTAAAATATACACCTGTTTTTCATAACCAATTTTTTACTTTGGAGATAGGTTTCTCTTACTGTTTTCTTACATTAGAGATGAAATCTGTAAAATAAAACATGAAATGGAAAATCCGTGTATACAACTCAAAACAAGTTAAAACACTCACAACACACATTGGAAGGCTGTGTTTTACTATTATACAAACCAGATATGACAGATTAACTATAGGAATATGAAAGAAATTGTGTTCTTTAAATTATTTTGAGTAGTATACAATGTTAACATTTCTTGGCTATGGCGCCCATTGGTTGAAGTATGAACAGTTCAGGCCATGGTAGCTGTGCATAGTGAACCTGTAAATCTGACTCACACAGATTAACAGGACACAAACTAAATTTGAGTAAAACAAAGTTGGTTCCAATATTTTATTTTATTTTTGAAAAACATCCCCCAAAATAGACCTTTATCTGGTTATGAGAAACAAGAAATGTATTTTAACATATGTAACATCACAACAATTCAATGAATCAGGATAACCATCTGTTCAGCAGCCTGTTAGAACACAGTGTATCTTTCTATCTTGGGACTCAACCATGAAGCCTATTTGTCTCTCTTGGTGGCGATTCCATTATTGACGATGCCAGTGGCAAGCTGACATAAATACTGTAATACCACATAATTCATCTACAACTGTCTACCTAGTTGAATACCCTTTAATCTTGGTTATACTTCATGCAATGATTGTTATAGCCAGGCATTTCCTCCTATGTTCAGTATAGGACTGACTCTGACTGACTGAGCCTTTAGTTTTATCTTTTAACTTTTCCAGCAATATCAGAGGGACATTCAAATGGGCGTAACACCTGTACTGTAACATAGGAGGTTTAACCACCAGGCTGCCAATGAAAAACAGTTACGAGGTCTTAGGCTTACGAGAGCTTTGTGAAATGGGGCCCAGGTGTGCATCCATTGCTAGGGACCATGAACTACATTTTAAAGAACACACACAATGTGGAAGGAAAATGCTATGCAGGAGTGAGTGAGTGAGTTTGATTTTACGCCGCTTTTAGCAATATTCCAGCAACATCACAGCGGGGGACACCAGAAATGGGCTTCACACATTGTACCCATGTAGGGAATCGAACCCGGGTGTTCGGCGTGACGAGCCAACGCTTTACCCACTAGGCTACCCCACCACCCCCTGCAGGAAAGAGCAGTGATGTAGGTGTTGGATGTATACACCAGTAAAATCAAACAACATGGGTATTTAAAAGAAAACCAACCATAGTTGTTAACAAACAAATTCAGGTACCCATTCCTTAAAGAGATCTTAGAGCTTAGCTATCATGACTCCTACACTTAACATAGATTTACAAGAACTTTACACAAAGATCACTTTGAAGTTTGAGTGAGTATTGTTTTACACTGCTTTTAGCAATATTCCAGCAATATAACAATGGTGGACACCAGAGTGAGTGAGTTTGGTTTTATGCTGCTTTTAGCAATATTCCAGCATCATCACGGCGGGGGGACACCAGAAATGGGCTTCACACAATGTACCCATGTGGGGATTCGAACCCGGGTCCTCAGCGTGACGAGCCAACGCTTTAACCACTAGGCTACCCCACCGCCCCGGTGGACACCAGAAATGGACTTCACACATTGTATCCATAAGTGGAATTAAACCCGGGTCTTTGGCACAACAAGTGAATGGTTTAACCACGAGGCTAAACCCAAGCCCTTCTTTGATGTATAATACCCAGAACATTCATTTTATCAGCTTCAAATTAGTTGAATTTGAAAAAGAGGAAAGAATAGAAAGTTAGGTTCATGGTCCCCCTAGCTCATGAAGTTATGCTCAGTTTCAATGCCGAACAGTGGTATTGTTTATTCTGTAAGCATGTATAATTCTAATTCCAGCTCCGCATATGCCCCAGACTGCTAGGAAGACCCATTACAAGAATGTTGAGTTACATGATGAAACTATTCACATGAATCTTTAAGTACTATATGAAATTAAGCATAGCACAATAGCTTGACAGAAACAGATCAACATTCAGCTGATAACAAGCAAAAGCAAAACAGTGTTCAAACACCAAATAACATTTCATTTGTGCATATCACAAAACAATAAACAATTGCAATCATAATCCACTTATCATTTGCTGATACAAGTACATGAGCAATTCCTTTGGAAAATCTGCTCGCAGTCATTTGCATGGTTTGAAAGGAGCTGCAAATAAAGGATGTATACAGTCTGCAAGTAAACAAGTGACACATTATCAACTGTGCTCCATGCTGTTGCCTGCCATACTGAGATCAAGTAATTACATGTTGTGTACAACTGCGGCAGAGATTTGTGATGTCATTTGATTATGACATTATTATAACTCATGACATCCTTGGAATACATTGTTTGATCTCACCTGAGCGTTATCTACAAGGGAAGCCAGTTTGGGATGATAAAACACCCTGGTGACGTTCTCACATCCAAGTACAGAGCTGAACCAAATATAACAGAGTCTAATATTCAATCTATATTTGCCATATTAAGGTGTAAGATATCTACATAAGCTGTAGGTAACATGTAAAATCGCCACATATTAAACCAGGAAATATACACAACAATAGTGTAGACATTTGTCTTGAAAGCAGTGTTGAATTGGTTAGAACTGCCTATTAATCATTTTAATTTTTCAGTTTCATCATCAAATGAAATAAATTCTCTTGCGCTCAATCTCGAGCAACAAATTTATATTGCTGTGTATGGTTTTGATTGGCATCCAGATTCAATTTTCTAAGCACCAGCATGCTTAGTGTGGCATTTTCGGCAGACACCCCACCCAACGCTAACAAGAAACATAACACAGGGTGATCAAGGGAAAACATTATTCGGAGCCATGCATTTTTTAAAAGCTAAGTCAGAGGAGTAAAAAAGCAAAAAGTTATCTGGTTAAGATATGTTTGAGAATTAAGTTAAAAATCAAGATTTACTTTCCTTCTGATTTTGACCTTGTTTGATTTCAGTCATTGGATCAGCAAACTATGCAATGACTTATTTCTCACAGCACAATTGTAAACAACATACAGTGAAGATGTTTGACAGTCAGCACAATTACACTTTATTACATATCACGATCTTGACCAAACAAGTGGGTAGTAGCATGAGCAACAAGTATGTCCAACCATCCATGATGTACAGAAAACACCTGATCTCAACATCTGTCAGTCACATGCAATCATTTCATTCAATCTTAAAGCACTTGCATGGCAACAATGTTGTGATGAAACAAATACATGTAAACAGAATATATGTTGTGGAATGAAGTAGAACATGCAAGAAAACAGAGATCTGACCTTCCACTGGTATAATGACAACCTCCTATTGACGGGTGACAACCTCCTACTGACAGATGACAACCTCCTATTGACGGATGACAACCTCATATTGACAAATGAAAATGTCCTATTGGCAAATGAAAACCTCCCATAGATGAATGAAAACCTATTGAGGATGACAACCTCTTGTTGACAAATGAAAACCTCCCATAGATGAATGAAAACCTATTGAGGATGACAACCTCTTGTTGACAAATGAAATCCTCCCATAAATGAATGAAAACCTCCCGTGGATGAATGACAACCTACAGACAAATGAAAATGTCCTATTGATAGATGATAACGAGCTATTGACTAATGACAACTCCCACTGGCATAACACCCTGATGCCAGTATCAGTTCAGGAAATACATCACCTGATAGCTATACCCCTCTACTTACAGATACATGAGACAGATCATGTCTTTTGGATTATGAATAATCTAGTTTTCAAATGAACAAATAATTCTCACCAACATAACATCCGTTTGCATTGGACTTTAAATGACAACTGTAACATTTTACTGTTGATGTTTTAGTTGTTAAAATTATCATGAGCAGGTGTTTGAACTTCAGGGACGGAGCAAGCATCAAAATTGGACAACTATCGCAATTGCAACACCAAATCCATCAAGCACTTTGAATATCAACTTGTACTACAAGTGGAGGGCTCCAGATCACTCTGTGACCATATCAAAATGGAGCTGACCTAACTAAATGTATGTATGCATGCAATGAAAGATATCCGCTTCCTGATTAGAGTGAGTGAGTTTAGTTTTACGCCGCACTCAGCAATATTCCAGCTATATGGTGGCGGTCTGTAAATAATCGAGTCTGGACCAGACAATCCAGTGATCAACAGCATGAGCATCGACTTGCACAATTGGGAACCGATGACATCCTGATAAGAAAACAGTTGTTCACAAATACTGCCTGTATATCTTGATAATGCAAATTTTCCTTCATTTTCAATTTCATTACCATTTTCATTACTATGCCTTTAACAGCATTATGGCTCTTGCATTGTAATTAAAATCAGATATTATACTCTGATAACTCACAGCAGGAACGCCTGACAAACACTCTTATCTGAGGGGATGTCAGGTGATAAAGCCATCAATTCTGAAAGTGTGAGAAAATCATTTGGAGCTACCAATCTGACTTGTGTACCCCAAAACAACAAACACAAACAGACAGTTCCCAATGGAAAATAAAGGTTACATCTAATAATGATGATATGTTTATACACCCTCTCAATGGAAAAGCACCATTGCATCTGCACCCAAAAAGGTGTATTACTGCCTGAAAGTTTGTGTGTTATATGTTTATTTGTTTTAAGATCAACACTTACAAATCAAAGGATGTGAAGTGAATCATCCTACAAAGAAGGCATCTGAACGGTTAAAAAATTCACACATCCTTCAAGATTAGAAGGCCCAAATTTCATTCAGGGCTAAGAAAGTAATTTCCAAGGTGGGATTTGATAAAAATGACACAGAGATGATTTGTATTGGAGTAAAAGATCTGAGTTGGAGCTTGCGAGTCATGGGTTCCATGTTATGCCAATCTGTAAAGGTACAACTGGCACTACAACTAAATACCATTAATTAACCTATACTACACTGGCATGATCTGCCATTAAACATACTGGATGGTATATATGCTTTCATATCAAACATGTTAGCCTTATGAAGGCAATATCTAGTGACATGAACCTACAGACCACCATTGTGTGAGGTCTACAATAATTAGGTAATGAAAATACAGCATTTGGAGAAAGTCAAAGAACATTCAGTTTGTTCATATGATTACATGATTACAGCAAACCTGTCATGACTAATTAACTTTAGTCATAAAAACATCAGGTCTTTAACCTTTTCAGATTAGTATATTTCAATTGGGGAACAACATATTTCAGCAATATCATGGCAGGGAACACGAGAAATAAACTTCACCCATCATACCCATGTGATGAATTGAACCCTGCTCTTTGGTGTGATGAGCAAGTGCTTCATCCACTCGGCTGTACTACTGCCATCGCTCACCCTTAAGTTTTTAAGATAACTAAGATAGATACATTCCCTCTACGATACATGCAAATTTCATAAACGCAGGCAAACTCTTTGATTTAACCCTAAGCCTGCAGTCATGTTTTGATATTGATAAATGTATGTACGCCCAAAGTTAAATGAGGTCTCACTCTTTTTAAACCAGATTTCAGTGAGTGACTGAGTTTGGTTTTACGCCACTTTTGGCAATATTCCAGCAATATCACGTCGAGGAACACCAGAAATGAGCTTCACACATAGTGCCCATGTGGGGAATCGAACCCGGTCTTCAGCGTGACGAGCGAACGCCTTAACCACTAGGCTACCCCACCGCCCCCCAGATTTCAGAATGAACTTGTTCCAAAAATATCTTGATATGAAAAAAATATACATGAGATGCAGTATTCTTATTATTCTGTTCACCATAAAGAAGTAAATATTTTTAAAAACACCAACTTGTTTACTGTTCTGTTAAAATAATTTTCTTTACTTTCTCTATAACTTGAGGAAGTGAAAAGAATATTTGAAAGTGAATGTATATTATATTTTACCTCCTTGACCTAACCTGAGTATTTGGACGAGAAATCCTTAAATCACAAAAAGGAAAGAAAAAACAACATCTGGCTTGAATAGGGCTTAAAACTGATTTAAAAGGTAATTAACTTTAAGTCACCGAAAGTTACAGCTTACTACAGAGGGACAACACAAAGTGATGCAGGTTGTCGATGTGTGCCACTATGAAACCCACGAGAATGGGTATGACACACCTAGCTGGGATTCAAACCCACTATCAGAGGCTTGTACAGGGAATAATGGCACAATGTGTGCCGATCTGCTCCTACTTTGGTGTGGAAGACGAGGTGCAGGCTTTGACCATTCAGGAAGCTTAGGATGATAAATCAACTGTGACCATCATTCTCTTCAGAGAAAACTTTCCACAAAATTGTCCTCAAGACCCAATCAATTCACTCTCACTTTCAAAATAAAATTCCCCTAAAACGCTCATTAAAATAACACCTGTCTTAAAATGACACATTCCTGAAAGTCAGGACAATCAAATGTTGCATAATGTTGTCAAGAAACGTCATACACATCATGGAATATTTATCATATATTGAAATCAAGGAGTCAGACATGACCTTGACCTGTGACCTGACCTGACGAATATATATATATATATATATATATATTTACAAATATATACAGTGAGAGGTATCATCTCTCCACATATCAGTGGGCATGCCTTAGAGAAACGTGCACTCTTAACACTGTACGTAACATGCACGCAAGCTGCATCGACATCTTGTCCATGAAATATTGTATATATTCTACTGCTATTGTAAGTTTAACATAAGGGGCTCATCACTCTTTCTTGTGCTATTAATATAATTATACATATCTTGAAAGCAAGTTCAAAATACGATCCACAATATGATACCTGTGAACTCATCATTTCACACTTTTGGAGACATTTTCCATCATCAAAGAGAATGAATAGAAATTGGCAGATTTGAATTAATTAATAAAACCGTGAAATGAGCTCTCCTGGCCAGACAGGCACAAATATACCGCTCAAAAAAGTTAAAAACATATTATTTTTTCATGTCTACAGTTAATCTGTCCTGGCAGGACAGACTATTTAGTTCCATGAATATAATGGGTGATTCACCTTTTTGAGTAGTATATTTTAAAAAAAAATAATGCATCTTTTAATGCCACCTTTATTCTTGGAACATTTAGTGAATCAGTACACCCCTAATCAGAATGTATTAATCAATGTTGAAGGAACTGGTCGAAGATTACACATCTCTGGAAGTGCTGAAGTACATGTACCATGGTATCTGCGGAACATGCATGAGCTGAAACAGTGGTATTGTGAAGCAGCTGAAAGAAAATCATTCCACTCTAACTACTGAGCTCAAGAACATATTGGCATTGAATGCCTATTTCCATCCAAATAAATACTGACCCAGTCATTTCTAAAGGACAAGTGTTCTGTGATGAGATTATCTACAAATGTGGATTGGTGAAAAACATGATTAATTCTTTGCATTATCAGGGATACATTTTCATTTCAATATCACTGTGATTCCATGGGTTTGTTCTAAGAACTGTTGATATATTGTAAACTAAGCTGATCAGAGCTACCGTCCTTGAAGCCAGCAGATCACACATGGAGAGCTCTCTGGCCAGAGACGTCTTGAAGCCAGCAGATCACACATGGAGAGCTCTCTGGCCAGAGACGTCTTGAAGCCAGCAGATCACACATGGAGAGCTCTCTGGCCAGAGACGTCTTGAAGCCAGCAGACCGCAGATGGAGAGCTCTCTGGCCAGAGACTCACGAAGCCAGCAGATCACAAATAGAGCCTACTTGGCTAGAGACTTCATGAAGTTGTCCAAGTTGAATTCATTCTCGTACTGCTTCTCATCCCAGAGGTCTCCCAGGTTCTCCAGGATGGTTCTCATGGTCTCCCGCTTGAGGTTGCTGTCCATGGCTGCACTGGCTGCACTCTCCCCCTTCTTCTTGTCCCCCAGGGTGAAGAGGTCAAGCAGCTGGTCAGTGCCCATGGTCTGGAGGCTAGAGTTGTCCTGCGTGATCACTGTGTTGGCTATTGTCAACTTGAACTTCTGTAGCCTGAAGCCAAGAAGGAAGTCAGTTAAGAGAAGCTGCAGAGTGAGATTCACTTATGAGTGAGTGAGTGAGTTTAGTTTAGCTGCACTCAGCAATATTCCAGCTATATGGTGGTGATCTGTAAATAATCAAGTCTGCACCAGACAATCCAGTGATCAACATCATAAGCATTGATCAGCACTATTGGGATACAATGACGTGACAACCAAGTCAGCAAGTCCGACCACCTGATCCTGTTAGTCGCCTCTTATGACAAGAATGGGTTACTGAAGATCAGTTCTATCCCCGATCTTCATGGGCCGATTCACATTTGAGACTTTTGGAGATGGTCTCTTACTTACTGCAATAAACATGACCCACCTTGTTCCATGATCTCATCATCCAGAAAACATGACCCACCTTATCCATTCCAATCTCCTGGGGAGATGGTAAAAGCATTAGCTTATCACTCCAAAGAACCGTGTTTGATTCCCAAAATGGGCACAATGTGTGAAGCCCATTTCTAGTGTCCCCCGCCATATTGCTGAAATATTGCTAAAAAGCGGCGTAAAACCAAGCTCACTCACTCCTCCTCCCTTAAACTTGACCCCACTTACCCCATGATCTTCTCCTCCAGTGTGCCCCGGGTGATAAGACGGTAAACGTTTACCACTTTCTTCTGACCAATACGATGAGCTCTATCCATAGCCTGCAACATGAGCCAACATATTCAACAACTCTTGAAACCTAAATGGCCACCACCATCTCAATAAAACCAGATCTCACTACAGCAAAACAAAGATGTGAGAACATGCCATTACAGAACACTTCAGAATGACCTTCAGCTGACTAGTGAGAGTGTCACGTACAAGTCAGAACCTGTTTTCTAATTATGCAATCTTGAAAAGGTTGACATAGTGCATTTCAAAAGACCGATACAAGTTTAAATGACTGTTAGTCTTTCGCTTCAGTGGGATGTACATTTGGATGGAAGAGACTTTGCATTGAAATCTCGGAGACTGCGACACAATCTATGTAATCTATTTGACATTCAAGAATGTTCTTTAGTTTGAATTGAGAACATTGTCCGAACATTTCCCAAAAGTGTAGTTGCCAGCTGTATAGCTTGTTAGTCATTACATTTTACAAATGTATGTAAAATGTTGTTCAAACATGACCTGAAATTGGATGTCCTTAGATCTTTGTTTTGCCGCATTGAGCAAAGATCTGTTTCATAGGAGATTGAACTTAATCAAATTTGTTGATGACAGTCTATTACAGTTTCACAGTTCTTACTCCTGCTTATTGTGAACAATCCCAGAAAACGTAGGGTAATTTTGGTCCAATTAGAATTGACTGCTGGGGGAGTAATGCCTGGACTTGATTTGTTTACGTCTTTACTGTGCCAATCGTTTCATCCACTACCTTGCAGACTGTACTTCATAAAGATTTGGAACAGAAGGCATAATCTATTTTGGCTTATTTTACCACAGCCTGGAGCTGTACGGACCTGTAAATCCTTCATGGGGTTCCAGTCATGCTCCACAAATATAACGGTGTCAGCCCCGGTCAGGTTGAGGCCCAGCCCTCCCACATGGGTGGTGAGCAGCAGCATGTCTATAGACGGATCATTGTTGAATCTGAAACAACAGACTTAAGATTGAATCCTAGTTTACATTTGTTTGTTTGTTGGTTAATGCCAAGCTCAGCAATATTCCAGCTATATTTGGTGGTCTGTAAATAATTGAGTGTGGACCAGACAATCCTGTGATCAACATCGATCTACGCAAGGCTTCTAAATGTTGGCTCTCTTCCAGATTCGAGCAGTGAACTGTAAATCAGACTTTCTATAATCACTGGTGAGTGCACTACTTTCATCAGCAGCTGCTGGGTTAGAGGACACCAGTAGAGCAATAAGTGACTGACCTGTGTACAATGTCATGTCTGGAGCCAGCAGGGACACTCCCATCTAGACGCAGGTAGGTAACCGATGGCAACTGACATCTGGAATATGATGTATGACAATTAGCTCCCTTCCAAGTCACTGCTGCAAAAACAGTCTTGTTCATAGAATGAAAGACACGAGGTTGAAAATTTGGTGCAGACAATGTCAAAATGTGGTGCTGAGTGGTTTCGCTGAAGCCACGACGTATTATTCAGCCGGGATACTTCACTGCTGCCACCAATATATTACTCATGCTAGGATGTTTTGCCGAAGGTGTTTTACAGATGTTTTACTGAAGCTGAGATGTTATAGATGTGGGTATTGGTTGTTTTACTGATGCCGGGATGTTTTACGAATGCAGAAACATCCACAAAACACCCAAATCCCTATTTTAATGCTTCTCATACTACATGGCTCACACACGTTTCTTTAGTTTACACACTGTATAAACAGAGTGATGCATAACAGTATTGAGAGTACTTTCAAACCTACTTGAGCAAATCTTTCTCCACTATATCCAGCATGCCCTTGAGCTGACAGAACAGCAGCACTCGATGCTGGTTGACAACAGGTACATCTGTACCGAGGTGACCAGTGCTGCCTCCTGGCGTGGACATGGGCACACCGATACCACAGTCATTCAGTAATTGTCTGCAAGATGACATTATATCTGTTAAAATGTTGCAACATGAAATACACTCCAGGCACATCAACATTCATTGAAAATACCAAATGGATTGTATTAATTACTACTGGACTGACACCAGGAACGATCAAATGTTTATTACAATAAATGATATGTATTTTAGCATTCACATGAACAAATAAATTGGACACTTTTTTTGGAAAAATAAATAACTACAGTCAAATCCCGATGAGTCGAATGCCTGTGTCTCGAATATTATGCATAACTCGAAGTACCTGTCGGTCCCGACCATTCCCTGTTATAGTTGTCATTATTTGAATACCGGTTACACGAATTCGACTCATAAATACACACGATGACTCGAGAAGAAAATTTGGACCCATGAGATTCAAACAACAGCAATCTTGAATACATAAGCCGAAGTCAGTCAATGAGAAGTTGATTGGTGTAGCAAACTGATCTAATTAACAAACCAGCTCGGCTCACACCTTTCCGCCTTTGACGGGTGAGTTCAAAAGGCAGATTAGTGATTTTACGGAAATCACTGTCTGTGCTAATCAGACGGGAACTGATAAGGTGCCCCTATTAGTGATAGGGAAATCATTAGATAAACAAATGCTTAGGCGGAGGAATTAGGACGGGATCAATTTTTTTCTACCCTCATAGACATACCTATGTCACGAATACATCGATAAGTCGAATTTATTACTTGGTCCCCAGATATTCGACTCATCGGGATTTGACTGTAGTTGTTTCATCTACATTTGAGTCAGGTTGAGACAAGGGACTAAGACCTACTAGACCGCTTGAAGTATGGGACATAAGACTAGCCTCAGACCTCTGACATTGGGAGAATAGATAGAAAACTACTTGTGAGTTGCAAGTATGGAAAGAGAAAGAGACTTACTTGAGTGCTGTGAGTTTGGGGGCATGTGTGAGATCCTTCAGGGACGAGTTCTGCTGCTTGAGGTGCTGACAGACGGACTCATACTTGGGGTGGTTGGTGTTGAGCACGAGGGCCGGGTGGTTGCACACCTTCCGTAGATACTGCAGAGCCTGGTAAAGAAACATCAACAGTCAGCGTCTTCAACATCAGTCTACACAGTCACCAGATGATGAAACAAACCAGGCTAGCTATTCTCGAAATGTTCGTAGCCTTAAGAACTTCTTAAGCCCATTCTTAACACATTGGCTACGATCAAAGTTCAGAATTCTTAGGGCTACGAACGTTTCGAGAATAAGGGCCCAGAGCTGTATGATGAGACCTTTAAAAAAACATGAGTGCCGGTGTGAACGCAGAGTGTTTTGGCGGTACTTAGTTTGTTTTCCAGTTACACTGGAACTCTTCACATTGAATTGTGGCACCGAGATATCCCAAACTCCAGTACTCCTATTTTCACAATATTCAGGGAGTTAGGTCCCAGCTTGGGTTTAACTACACTCTGAACAGACTTTCAGTTTTATCATGACATATCACCTACATGCATGAGGGAAATCACAAGTTATGATTGTGTTAGATGATTTCCACTTTGGTGCAAGACAAGGAGACACACCTAAGGATCCAAATTGGGGTGAATCTTAAAACACACAACCAGCAGATCCTGGATTAACTAAAACATCCCTCAACAGGTAATTATGGCTCTGTCTGACCTTTCCCAACACACAACATTGATATGTTTCTTCACATTCTTCTGCCTTTTTAGTAGTGCTTTTAATGGGAGACTAGGACTAGGTCAATTTTTCAGTCAATGCAAATCAGACATAAACCCAGTTTACACACAGACAATGTCTTGGAGTGAGTGAGTGAGTTTAGTTTTACGCGGCACTCAGCAATGTTCCCCCTATATGGTGGTGGTCTGTAAATAATTGAGTCTGGACCAGACAATCCAGTGATCAACGGCATGAGCATCGACCTGCGCAATTGGGAACCGATGACATGTGTCAATCAAGTCAGCAGGCCTGACCACCCAATCCCGTTAGTCGCCTCTTACGAAAAGAATAGTTGCCTTTTGTGGCAAGCATGGGTTGCTGAAGAGCTATTCTACCCCGGATCTTCACGGGTTGGTCTCGGAGTGACACAAGTCAATGATTACATTGTCTTGTAGAAGACTGCAAATAGATACCCTATGATGGAGCACATTCTCACAATGAATATCAGACATTCAGATTCATCCCAAACTTGACACACAAACACAAAGTACAAAGCAGTTTACATACTTGGAATATATGAGTAGTTCCCTGAGAGTTAACTTTCTTGTCTGTGTCATCCTGTAGGGTCTCGTCGATGCCCTTCTTGACACGTGAGCGGGCGAAGTCCTCATACAGCTCCACCTGGAGGGGACTGAGGTCACAGTAGTAGTCCTGGATGATCTTGGGAGGCAGATCCTGCAGCACGTCCTCCTTGAGGCGACGCAGCACGAAGGGCAGCACTTGTCGGTGTAGAGACTCCATAGCCAGGGCACCTGTAACATACATCATATATGCTGAATGAAGTTCTAGGTAACTATACAATAAGTCTCAAATATATTTATATGTCTTGACATACGCCACTTTACCTAAATCAGAAGTTGTATAGAATATGCGCTCTGTTCCTGAATCAACACCAAATTACTTTCTAAGAGAACCTCATCACCCAACAACCATCTTCTAATATTACTGGCGCCAAAAGCAGGTAAATGCTATTTTGTATTAAGAGATTCACCCCACCTGCTTCCTGTTCTTTGGTCGTGCTCTTGGCGTCGCGACTCTGCAGGATGGGCTTCCCGTACCGGGCCTGGAACTGCCGCTCGGTGCCCAGGAAGCCCGGCATCAGGAAGTCAAACAGAGACCACAGGTCCAGGACATTGTTCTGTATAGGCGTTCCGGACAGGATCAGCCGGTGGTTGCACACCAACATCTTCACCGCCTTGGACAGCTGGACATGGGGATAAAAAGTGAGTTGGGTTTACTGTCCAATATTTGGGCTGTGTCACATTCATATCGGAATATCGGAATGAATGAGTGAATGAGTGAGTGAGTGAGTGAGTGAGTGAGTGAGTGAGTGAGTGAGTGAGTGAGTGAGTGAGTGAGTGAGTGAGTGAGTGAGTGAGTGAGTGAGCGAGTGAGTGAGTGAGTGAGTGAGTGTGGTTCTAAGTCGCTTTTAGCAATATTCCTGTAATATCACGACAGGGACACCAGAAATGGGCATTACACATTGTACCCATGTGGGGAATCGAACCCAGGTCTTCGGCGTGACGAGCAAACGCTTTAACCTCGAGGCTACCCCACCGCCCCTCATATTACAGGAAAAGTGATGCAGGTTATAGATCTTCACAGCAATACATTTCATGCTTTTATTTGAACAACAGTGACATTTGGTAATGCAACATGATCAGCACTGGTCCAGCCATATGGTTGTGGTAATGTAACATGATCCTAACATTGGTACTCTGACTGGTAATGAACCATGTTCAGTGAGTCTGACTGGTAATGTATTATGATCGCTAACACTGGTGTTGGAAACCACTGGCATCATCCATCACTGGTAATGTACATGAATCTAACACTTCCAAACAAAGTGTAAAATGTAGATAACAACCCTGGTTCCCTGGTATATGGCTGTACATGATCCTAACACTGAGGTAACATGACATGTAAATGTAACATGATCCTAACACTGGTCTCTGACTGGTAATGTAACATGATCCTAACACTGGTCTCTGACTGGTAATGTAACATGATCCTAACACTGGTCTCTGACTGGTAATGTAACATGATCCTAACACTGGTCTCTGACTGGTAATGTAACATGATCCTAACACTGGTCTCTGACTGGTAATGTAACATGATCCTAACACTGGTCTCTCTGACTGGTAATGTAACATGATCCTAACACTGGTCTCTGACTGGTAATGTAACATGATCCTAACACTGGTCTCTGACTGGTAATGTAACATGATCCTAACACTGGTCTCTGACTGGTAATGTAACATGATCCTAACACTGGTCTCTGACTGGTAATGTAACATGATCCTAACACTGGTCTCTGACTGGTAATGTAACATGATCCTAACACTGGTCTCTGACTGGTAATGTAACATGATCCTAACACTGGTCTCTGACTGGTAATGTAACATGATCCTAACACTGGTATCTCTGACTGGTAATGTAACATGATCCTAACACATACCTTTGTCTTTCCATTCCTGATTATATGACCTTCATCCAGTATACAATAGTTCCAGTTGATGGTGCTGCAGAGAAAAATGTATAGATGTGTCTCCAGTGGTGTGTAACCATGGTAACAAATACAGGAAAAGGTAAAATTTTCATCATGAAAAACAACCCCTTCCTTATAAAGGAATTGCATTTATGATATTTTGAAACCACTGTTGTAGCTCACCTGAAGAAGTCTATGTCGTTCCTGACCACATCGTAGGAGGCAACGATTAAATTGTGCTTCTTCACTTTCTTCTGCAATCTGAAGATGGAAAAGAAGACTGACCATACTTACACTGACTGACTGAGTTTGGTTTTATGCCGCTATTAGCAATATTCCAGCAACATCATGGTGGGGGACACCAGAAATGGGCTTCACACATTGTACCCATATGGGGATTCGAACCTAGGCTACCCCACCGCCCTGACCATACTTACAAGCCCTGATCTACTTCAATAAGCTAATGCAATATTATTGATGTTTCGAAAAACACTAGACATCTGACACGACTATTGTATGTAACCAATGTCCATGAGGGAGAGGATACAAAATACCTTCTCAACATTATGAAAACCACAGCTGACCAACTGTTACTTATCTACCTCCATCTCACGCCATCCTTGCTGGTATTTACCTCCATCTCACCCCATCCCTGTTGTTGCCTACCTCCATCTCACCCCATCCCTGTTGGTGCCTACCTCCATCTCACCCCATCCCTGTTGGTATCTACCTCCATCTCACCCCATCCCTGTTCCTGCCTACCTCCATCTCACCCCATCCCTGTTGGTGCCTACCTCCATCTCACCCCATCCCTGTTGGTGCCTACCTCCATCTCACCCCATCCCTGTTGGTATTTACCTCCATCTCACCCCATCCCTGTTGATATCTACCTCCATCTCACCCCATCCCTGTTGATATCTACCTCCATCTCACCCCATCCCTGTTGATATCTACCATCATCTCACCCCATCACTGTTGATATCTACCTTCATCTCACCCCATCCCTGTTGGTATCTACCTCCATCTCACCCCATCCCTGTTGATATCTCACCCCATCCCTGTTGATATCTACCTACATCTCAGCTCATCCCTGTTGATATCTACCTCCACCTCACCCCATCCCTGTTGATATGTACCTCCATCTCACCCCATCCCTGTTGATATGTACCTTCATCTCACCCCATCCCTGTTGATATCTACCTCCATCTCACCCCATCCCTGTTGATATCTACCTCCATCTCACCCCATCCCTGTTGGTATCTACCTCCATCTCACCCCATCCCTGTTGATATCTACCTCCATCTCACCCCATCCCTGTTGGTATTTACCACCATCTCACCCCATCCCTGTTGATATGTACCTCCATCTCACCCCATCCCTGTTGGTGTCTACCTCCATCTCACCCCATCCCTGTTGGTGCCTACCTCCATCCCTGTTGATATCCACCTCCATCTCACCCCATCCCTGTTGACATCTACCTCCATCTCACCCCATCCCTGTTGGTATCTACCTCCATCTCACCCCATCCATGTTCGTATTTGTCTCCATCTCACCCCATCCGTGAGGATATTTATCTCACTCTCACTGCGGGTATTTACCTCTGTCTTTCACCGGGGGGCCCAGCATACATGAGGGGATTGAGATACTGCTTGTCCACAAACTTCTTCACCTCGTACACCCAGTGGCCCACCAAAGTGGGTGGACACACAACAATAGATGGTATAGGTGAGCTGTCCGGACTTGATGATTTCTGTCAGCAACAATAAAACAACACTTCATTTGGAGGCATAGTATCCACCCCAACAACAAGAAGACTAGGCCTGTATCATTTCAACACATTCTCGTCTGGATTCCCAAACCTCAATTTGATTGTGATAGAATTTGTTTAGAGAACCCCAACAACTATGTAGTGTGCAGAAAACTGTCAATGATTCGAGTGACCATGCAAAACTACAGACAGCTGAAGGAAGTCTAGTCCAAACAATGTACCTGGTAACATAAATAGCAATCCTTGTCATCAGATAAAATGATACACAATCAGCTAGTTTGGATATCAACATGACCATATTGATATTAAAAGTCAGTGTAAAGAATAACCACTCTAAAATATCCTCAGAATATATATGGAACTATTTCTAAGTCAATTGTTGAAACAAGTTTCAGGTGTAAGTAGACCTTTAAATATTCAGATTTATTTCCTTGTTACTTCACTTTCCAGCTACCGACATACAACATGGAATCTTCATGTGATGGTTGCTAGGCACCTATTCTAACCAGGAATCTTCATGTGATGGTTGCTCGGCACCTATTCTAGGGCATGGATGGTAAGATATTCAGAAGTATGAACTGAACTGTCTTTAGTCAACAGTCTGCCTTGATGTCTTGAATGAACTACAGTGTCTACCAGCACTACTATGACGTGGGACTCACCGTATACTCCTGTTCCCGGCGGAGATGGTCGCTGGACAGGATGCAGATGGACTGAAGGGTCTTCCCCAGCCCCATGTCATCACACAGGATGCCATGCAGCTGGTACTTGTTGAGGAAGGCCAGCCAGTTCACACCATCCTGAAAGTCAATGTACATTGGTTTTTATAAAACACATTGGGATGGTCTACGAACCAGGATCAGGACTGGGAATAACTTGATCCACTTGTAAAATTCTTGTAAGCAAATGCATAAAAAACAGGGCCTAGATTTTCGAAGCTCTCTTAGCGCTAAGATAGTCGTAAGTGCCATATGCCAACGTTAACATTAACTTACGACTATCTTAGCGCTAAGAGAGCTTCGAAAATCTAGGCCCAGGTCTCTAACAAAGTAGTTATTTTTTCCCCCCAGTACCTGATTGTGATAACATTGATCATTAATTGCTGGTTAAACAAAGCAGGCATTTTCAGATACAATGGCACCCAGAGTCAGGTACTTTGTTAATGCCTCAACACAGCAGCTGGGACAAGCTGTCTTCAATCAAACATCGCCAGAGTCCTCTTAAGTTGGCTCCTTTGACAAGCTTGGTTCATGGACCAAATCTGACAAGAATCTGCAAGGACAATGAACACATGATCACTGGTCCTGTGATCCTGGTAGACCTACCTGCTGATATTTGCGTAGTTCGGCCAAGATTGGGACGGAGATTTCGTAGCTCTTGAGTTTGGAGCTGTCCATGAGCTGCTCCAGGAACTGCCTCTCCTTCTCCTTCCTTGCCACCATCGCTGCCGTCATCTCGGGGGATCTCGGGATGCCAGCCTCATGGATGCCAGCCTGAAGTATTGGAGCTATATGGTACAGCATGTGTGTTTATTTATTATTTTTTGTTGTTGCTTAATGCCACACTCGGCAATATTCCAGCTATATGGTAGCAGTCTCTAAATAATGGAGTCTGGACCAGACAATCCAATGATTAACATCATGAGCATTGATCTAGACAACTGGGATGAAATCTCTCAACCAAGTCCATGAGAATGACCACCTGATCCTGTTAGCTGACCTCTTCAGCCCAAACAGGCCTTGCTACATTTTCTGCCTGATTTGTTTATAGTGAAACTATCAGTAATAGTTTCATCACAAGACTTGATCCCAAAAAAGGAACATCACCAAGAAGTGGCAATCATGGTTAGTCAGTTTTCAGTGCCTTGAAAGAAAGGCGTATTTACTATCAACAAACTAGTTGTTACATAAACCATCAATTTGAACTGAACTTATGGTCAAGTTTCATTGGACACATTTTACCGATGTGAATAGTACTATGCCAGTTACTTGTTTCATCAAAGTAATCAGTGAGTGAGTGAAAGAGACCCTTCGAAACTCTGATGCCCTGCATACTCTAGGGTTCTAGTGTTGTTTGTTTAATGCCTCCTACAGCAATATTCTAGCTATATATATAGGCAGCAGTCTGTAAATAACGAAGTCTGGACAACACAATCCAGTGATCAACAGCATGAGCATTGATCTATGCAACTGTGATACTTGACATGTGTCATCCAAGTCAGCAAGCCAGACCACCTGATCCCATTAGTAGTCTCTTACGACAAGCATGGGTTACTGAAGACTCCAGTGTTTTAACTCTCACCTCAAGGGGCATGAGTCTGATGAGAGAAGCAAAGCAGTATCGTAGCCATCAGGCGTACAGCCTCATTCTGGTCGGACATACGTCCCAAGATCGGCACAACCAGCAGCACTACATATGGCACCAGCTCCATCCCCAGCACATCGATGACGTCTGGCAGGGTTAAGGATTTTAAACCTTACAAGAAACCAATAACCAATCATCCACAAGAAATGATATGCACAATAGGTTAAACTGATTTTTGGCCAATTACCATTTTGCATCAAGTATTTGAGGCTTTGAAATATGTTATTAATATTAAAGTACAAAACTTTTCCCACATTTCAATGATCTGCATGAATCCTGCTGACACACCCTGATCCTGATGTTTGCTTTCTTTCTTAATTCCAGACACTTACATTTATTCACATTTCCACAATGTTAAGCATGTTAAGCACAGCACAGTCTGCACTATGTTTATGGAACCAACACATGAAGGATACTGGCAAAGGTCTCTACCGCCCCCTGTCTCTTCATCTCGCTGTCTGTAGCTCCCAGCATCAGCAGTATCTCATCTATGATGAACATCATCAACACCGTGGTGCGTAGCTGCGTCAACATGGCGAAACATCTGGCTGCCATGTGCCGCACGCCTGTGTACTTACTCTCTACACAGGACCTAATGGATTCCAGTTGACTAAATATCTGCAACAGTCAATGAATTAATTGGACAGAATTTTACAGATTAAGCAGCGAGTCAGGTCAGGTTCGGGTGATGTGAAACACTGCTTAAAGCTGCATTTAAAATGATTTCACCAACACAGTCTGAATGTATGTTGCAGTTTAACACTGATACCCTACTCTGACACACTTAGACCGCCTCCGTGGTGTAGCGGTTAGAGCGTCTGCCCGGAGAGCGGAAGGTCGCGGGTTCGATCCCCGACCGCGTCATACCAAAAGACGTTAAAATATGGTACTTGTTGGTCCCTGCCTGGCGCTCGGCATTAATGGGTACAAGAAGGACTGGTCGGCTCGGAGTCAGTATAATGTGTCTGAGTGGGGGTATTCATGCTTCACTGCGGCATGGTATCTCAGTGGGCTAGCACTATAAAACCAGCTTAAGTCTGGGCTAGTACAAGCAGCCGCACATACACATACACACGCATGCACGTCGTCATATGAGCGAAATATTCTCAAGCACGACGTTAAACCCAATTTCACCTCACCTCATCTGACACACTTAACTGATTTGAGGCTTACAAGTCCTTGTTATATAAGCTTTTACAATCATCAGGCAGGGTAACAAGGACCATCTTGAACATATTTGGAATCATAACTTGGCAATGAACCCTAACCTTCCCCTTCTGGCAGTAACCAAATTACAGCAATGTTTGAGAAATACCTGTCCAAGATTATCTGTACAAGGTAAGTAATGACTCCACATGAATTTGGAAATTCCAAATTGTAATGAACAAGTCAGAGAATGTTGTTCAATGCCATAGCAAAGAGCATCTTTAACATTAGCTGCACAGAGATACAACTGGGCTGAAGCATGGAGTTACTCACAGTTTCTATGAGATCATTGTGAAGAGCTGGACCTATCGTCTCCAATACTTGTAGAGAGTTCACCAACTCCTGAGCTGATTCTACAGTGTGGCTATTATCTGTCAATCAAATAAAAATGACAAAGAGTACATCAGTACTGTAGAAATCTTTAGATAGTGAACAGAAGATATGATCTTCTACAACTTGCACTAAAAGATGTTAGGATGTTTGGTCGAGCATTTTAACTAACATTCTGTCTCCAAACGTACATTTATTAAATGCCACTTTATCCGACGATATTCTTGTAGGTCAGCATTTTGTAGGTTATAATATGTTTCCATGGCTACATATGCCATTAACTGAATAGCCATGAGTTTTCAACCTGAAAAATCAGGAAATACGTCTTCATGTAGGAATGCTATGTCCGCCTACCTAAATGCTGTATGGCTTCACATGTCCACCTATTCCATAAAGGAATGCAGAGTCTCCATTCATATTCCACATAGGACTGCAGCGTCCACCTACCTATTGGACGTAGGAATGCAGCATCCATCTACCTATTCTATAAAGGAATGCAGCGTTCACCTACCTATTCTATATAGGAATGCAGCATCCACCTACCTATTCTATGGAGGATTGCAGTGTCCACCTACCTATTGCATGAAGGAATGCAGCATTCACCTACCTATTCTATATAGGAATGAAGCGTTCACCTACCTATTCTATATAGGAATGCAGCATCCACCTACCTATTCTATATAGGAATGCAGCGTTCACCTACCTATTCTATATAGGAATGCAGTGTTCACCTACCTATTCTATATAGGAATGCAGCATCCACCTACCTATTCTATGGAGGATTGCAGAGTCCACCTACCTATTGCATGAAGGAATGCAGCGTTCACCTACCTATTCTATATAGGAATGCAGCGTTCACCTACCTATTCTATATAGGAATGCAGCATTCACCTACCTATTCTATATAGGAATGCAGGGTCCACCTACCTATTCTATATAGGAATGCAGCGTCCACCTACCTATTCTATGTTGGAATGCTGCAGTACAGGTTTCCCAGAGTGAAGGAGCATTGTCTGGCAGGGTGTGACCGAAATGTTGACATATTGTGAACAAGGCACTCTCTGACCCCTGGCGCTGTATCCGGAGCTGCTTCTGTCAACAGAGTATCTTGCTATGAAGTAACAGTTTGACTTAAAGATGCTTTGGAGAGTGTTTCAATTATATCCTCATGGGTTAAGTTGTGTGGAAGGAAACCTCAAGTGTTGCAGGTTTTAGGTATTCACTGCACCATGTATGGGTATATAGTGTCAACAAACATAATCATAAACCCACAGTGAAAATACAACAGTGTGCCTGGGATGACATGACCCTCATGTACAGATAAATATGCACAGATGGTCTAAAAACATCAACAGGGTGGAGCCAATCACCATCATAAATACTAGAAAAGTAAATGTCATTTAAGGTTCAACATCAAATGTTAAGCATGGTCAAAAGTAAATGTCAGTATGTGATATATTTTGCGTATAACTACCACACTGGACAGTAAAGAAAAGGCTTCGCACTGGAATTAAAATGTTAGCACACTATTTATTCTGAACAAATTGCTGACCTCGACTTCTGAGTTGTTTTCACAAGTTCCTTCTGAGTCCACCTTTACACTGACACTCCGCTTGTACCATCTCCGACTACGCTCTGGGGCCTGTGACAAGGACATTGTGCTATCATAAGAGAAGGTAAATAAGTTTTTTTCTTGATAATTTTTTTTCATCCTGTGGCTTTTCACCTGTCAGAACAGGTGTTCAGTACTTCATGTTTCTCTCCTGTTGGGTATTCTCGGCCAGAATAGAAAGTAAAAGCCAACTTATGTTTCTTATTTAATTTGATCTATATAAATTGCAGCGTTCTCACCTTCTGCATGTTAGTCAGGGTCAGGATGCCAGTGTGAACGTCACACGTCATCTCGTGAGCCTGTGGTTCTGTTGAAGGAAGACGGAGAGCTTGAGAATACATGACACGATTATCTAATTTCAAATGTTTGCACATGTATATTTTAGTTATTCTCAGTGCAAATTGGTCAGTTTGATCAGTATGACACAACGGTAACACTGCTTCAATGATGAGCAAGACACAACATGCCTTCCTTTATTCATGACATTATGTGACAAGAGTGAACCTCAGTTTCTTCTCACCTGAATGTTTCTGTACACCTGGTTGTGAGACAATGGGGGTTGATGAGGGGTCACAGCAGAGGAATGCACATAAGTTCTTGAGCACCTTGGAATTTGGACTTGGGTTTCGCTGCACACATTTACTCAGTAGCCACGCTAGACCTTTGGAAGCTTCACTCTGTAACGGAAACAAAAATATTCAGAGGAATGGTTTAGTTTGGCGTGGCATAGTATGGTGTATGTGATGTGTTGTGTTAAGTGTTGAGGTGAGGTGAGGTGAGGTGAGGTGAGGTGAGGTGAGGTGAGGTGAGGTGAGGTGAGGTGAGGTGAGGTGAGGTGAGGTGTTGTTATAGTGGGCATGGTGATTAGTTGTGTGGTGTTTGGTCTATTGTGACAAGGAGAGATGAGGTGGTTGAGCTTTAGTAGAGAGGTGAGGTGTTTAGAGGTGAGGTGAAATGGAGTTTAACGTCGGTACTTAAGAATATTTTGCTCATATGACGATGTGCATGCATGTAGATGTGTGGCTGCTTGTACTAGCCAAGGCTTAAGCTGGTTTTATAGTGCTAGCTCACTGAGATACCATGCCGCAGTTAAGCATGAATATCCCACTCAGACACATTGTACTCCAAGCTGAACAGTCCTTGTCGTACCCATTATTGACGAATGCCAGGCAGGTAACAAGAAGTACCACATTTTAACGTCTTTTGGTATGACGCAGCCTGAGTATCGAACTCGCGACCTTCCGCTCTCCGGGAGGACGCTCTAACAACTACACCACAGACGTGGTCTGAGTGAGTGAGTGAGTTTAGTTTTATGCCACACTCAGCAATATGGCAGCGGTCTGTAAATAATCGAGTCTGGATCAGACAATCCAGTGATCAACAGCATGAGCATCGGTCTGCACAACTGGGAACCGATGACATGTGTCAACTAAGCCAGTGAGCCTGACCACTCGATCCCGTTAGTTGGCTCTTACGAAGATTACTGAAGTTACTGGTCAGGTTACTGAAGATTCATTCTAACCCGGACCTTCATGGGTCAGAGAGGTGGTCTGAGGTGTTTAGAGGTGAATTGATGTGAGGTGAGTGAATTGTGTCTTGGCATGTTGAGGTGAGGTGTGGTGTTTGGTCCAAGTGGTGAGGTATTGTGTGGTATGATTGTATTGAGGTGTTGATGTCTGGTGTGTAGTGGCTATTCGTGTTGTGTCATTTGCTTGTACAACAAATAGTCCTAGGTTTCTGCACAGGAACAGGGACACCCTGACGACTAGTCCCCCCTGAGGTACAAGAACAATGGCTACCTGGAGACTCCGGTTCTGCTCCTTCTTGATGCTGTCCATGAGTGGTCTGATGACCGGGTTCAGTTTCTCTGGGAGTGCGTCCAGCACAACCGCCGCCAGAGCAAGGCTACTCAGTACCCTGCAATACAGACACCTTCTGGTTTATACAAAACTCCAGCCACCACATTTCAGCTCAAGGCCTCTTCATGGCAATGAAAACACTTTTCAAGGCTGAGTGTTCCAATATTTTTTGTAAACAGAATACTGGATTTTTCTTGGTTATGATGGCTGGCAATTTAAAGTCATTTTCTCAGCATTTTTTCAAATTCAATGTCTTTTCACCCCTGTATAAAATCTGTTTGTTAATTTCTTGACTCATTTGTGAATTCAGCAGAACTTCAAGCAGGCCATCTTGAAATGCATATGAAAAGATCTTGATTTTTAATACACAGATATGATTTGAGTTATGAGATATGATGATGTTGTAACTTTTTCTTACTTTCACAAATGATTGTAATATAAAATCAATCAACTTCTTCTTATACAATTTCACAAATTTCAACATTCCTTCTGCCCGGTCATACATAATGTTGGATGTTTTCTCTTCTCACCACCCCCGCCCATCTCACCCCATTTTGTTTATGGTTCAACACTGAACTCAGCAATATTCCAGTGATTCTCACATAATGATCATCCATACCCTCACAATCGTTAAACATATCCTAATGCAGCAGTGTCTTTATGACTGCATCTCACCGTATAGTCAGTGTGTTTTGCTCATGGCTGGTCTGGTCCACTGTCACCTGCAGCTGCTTGCGTCGATCCTCCAGCGTCTGCAGCGACCGAGGCTTGATGGACCCTTTCACCTGCTCAAACAAACCCATGGTGAGGTGGTTTGCCTGCTCAAGGGTCAATATCGCTCTGAAAATGTAACAAACACAAGATTGTTATAAATACATCAATCTACTTCTATACTTCACATTGATTAAAGAATCCTGCATCTTAATACATACGATTAATTACATTACACTGTATGATAATACCACAAATGCCCTGGGTGTAAAACCAAGATGCTGACTATCTACGGTGTAGGACCGAGATGTTGACTGACCAGGGTGGACAAAGATGTTGATTATCGAGGATGTTGATTATCGAGGATGTAGGATGAAGATGCTGACCACACAGGGTATAGGTTGGTTCGTTTGATGTTTAAAGCAACACTCAACAATATCTCAGCTATATGCCGGCGGTCTGTAAATAATCGAGTCTGGACAAGACAATCCAGTGATGAACATCATGAGCATCGATATGGTGTGTCAACCAAATCAGCTGAGCCTGACAACCCGATCCCATTAGTCACCTATTACGAGAAGCATGGGTTGCTGAAGACCTATTCTAACCCGGATCTTCACAGGTCACAGGGTGTAGGACCAGGGTGCCACCTACCCTGGATTAGGGACAGGGGTGAAATTTACCTTGGATTTAGAAGTACCGTATATGACTGTCTATAAGCCGAATTTTGAGGACCAAAAAAAGCTGTCTGTAGAAGGGGGTCGTCTTATCCATGGATTAACGCTTTTGTCAAACTTTTTTCCAGGGGTAAGAAAACAACATCGTATCACTTCGCGTGAACAAACAACAGAAGGCGACTTTGTCAGTAGAGACGTCAAATTTGCAATTAAACATCACTAGACAAGATTATTTACCTTTTAAGTTCTAAGTTGTTTTTGCTGGGCATTGTATTATTTGCAGGGATTAAGATTACTGTGTGTATCAGTTCCGGAAATAGCAATCAGCTGTGCACACGTTTCCCGGCGAACAAGTTCAAACACGCACAATAATATAACGGGACGAATTCTGACGCAGTCATCAGTAAAATATAATACAGAATACCATTATTTAACCCAAAGAAATATATCCTAGCATTGTGTAATTTTAGTTACAGTTTTTGCTCTATAAATTAATTAAGATTACCGTGTGTATTTGAGCCAGAAATAGCAATCAGCTGGCACACGTTTCCCGGCGAACAAGTTCAAATATGCACAATAATATAATGGGATGAATTCTGACGCAGTCGTCAGTAAAATAAAATAAAGAATACTATTATTTAACCCAAAGAAATATATCCTAGCATTGTGTAATTTTATTTACAGTTTTTATGTAAAATATATATAATCAACACTAAGGTTATACAGACCCTCATTAACGTGGTAAGCACATGGAATGGGGTAAAATACGGAAGCCATTTAAATTCACACATTTTTACCGATGTTACTGTAAACTAGCAGTCAATGGAAAACGAGGCGGTAATCAGTTCGTGATTGTTGAATGGGGTAAAATAAGCAAGCCAGTTTGTTGCTACAATAAATATGATATTTAGAGAAGCAAAATATATTATGCATTTTCTGTCAACTACATTTCGTTTCGATCCGTGAGTAGACATAATATATATGACTGTGAATTCTTTGAATAATGTGGACCAAAGTTATAATCATTGGTAACTGCTGTTGTCTGTGGTTTGTGTTTGCCGCGATTAGGACCACATTGCGGGGGATCAACTTATGCATGAAACATACCATTTTGACACTGATTTTAAGGGTCAAGTTTGGGGTCGTCTTATCCATGGGGTCGTCTTATAGACGGTCATATACGGTAAGTGGCTGCAGTAAAGTGCTACTCACCCTGGTTGGAAGATAGAGTCTATTGCGATCCCCTGCTGTCGGAGACTGGCGATGAAGTCCTGACAGTCTGATTGCATCCGAGTGAACGATATTGCTATTTCATCAAAGTATATTGCTTCACCTAAACATTCTAGGATTTTGGTTTTTACATCTGCGGGGCATTCACAGGCCTGAGGAGAGAAGATCAACACATATTTCATGATCTTTGAAAGACTAACAACTGTTAACAGTCAAGGTATTTATCATCAGATTGATGATTACTCATTTCTTTCAAATTAATGCAGTACATTGGTTTAAAAAATACACTTTCAACATTAAAAATCTTACTTAATTATGGACCCTATCACATCACTGATATGTTTAGAGAAGCATCCTTATTTGACATGATGTATATAATCCCAGATGACTGATTCTGTTATTGTGGATGACATATTAGAGATGACTGATTCGGTTATTGTGGATGACATATATCCCAGATGACTGATTCTGTTATTGTGGATGACATATATCCGAGGTGACCGATTCGGTTATTGTGGATGATATATATCCCAGATGACTGATTTAATTAATAGACAACTGACATGATGGAACTGATGATTGACTTAACTGACAGGTGATTAATTTGATTGAGAGATTATTAATTTGACTGACAGCAGATGATTGACAGATGACTGAAGTGACTACAGTGGCTGCTTACAGAACTGTGCCGACACCAATGGTAGACTACTTGTGCTACGACGAAACGTTGTTGGGCGGACTTGGTGTTGAGATGGAAGACAAACAGTTTGGCAAGTGATTCAACAGGTTTCTCAACATCAGCAGGGAAGTTGGGGATTGGCATCGTAATAAAGTATACCAACTCACCCAGTAATCTGGAAGCAAGAATCAGGATCAGGTTTCAATACAAAGTTTCTGAAGAAGAGTTCCCTTGTCCATGTGTATTAAATAAGTGTGCCCTCGTGGTGTAAGCCATTTAATCACCCTCACTATGGCTAAAGCCCTCGCAGAGTTTATTTAAATAACTACCTTGTGAGGGTGATTAACCTATACTTAGTGCAATGTTAAAGAATGGGAGTTAAGGTTAACCTTAGTAAAGGTTGCTTCATGAAAGAAGCCCCAGAACTGGCCAGATATTCCACTGGTTGATGCAATGATCAATGTCCCAATGTGTCAAGGTATGAGGACATGCAATCCACCAAGTCATGCTGGCTGACCACCCAATACACATCAGCTGAATTGATAGCAATCATTGGTTACTGGTGGCCTATTCTATCAGGTTGGTTTGTCTTCACAGTGGTAGTGCTGGTGGTAGTGGTGATGGTAGTGGCAGTAGTAGTAGTAGGTTTAGATGACATACTTAGCTGCAGTTTGTCTGGCGTTGATTACGACAGCATCCCTTTCTACAGTGGCACTGTTGACCGTCTCGGCGCCACCTATAAAATCTTTCTGTTCTTTCACTGTTGCGGCCTCTTGGACAGAGCGTACCCGACTGTGCTGCTGATCCTAGAACAATAAACCACGCTCAGATAAGTTAAGCGCTCATCCTATGACTATGAACATCACATGGATAAGTTCATTGGACAAAATACAGCACATGCATAAGAACTGATTCTGTAACAATGTACAACACAGAGACAAGTACAGCGAACCATTAAATTATTTAAATTTTATTGTGATTGTTTTCCTCTGTGGTTAGACAGATTATGACCATGATGATTATTCTATTTTCCAATTGGTTACATTATGTCTTTACTGACATTTAAGATTAGGAGAACTTCAGTACATGACGCTATCCAAAAGTTTCATCATAAGTATGTAGCATACTAATTTTACTGAATTTTTTCGATTTTACCTATAAAATAAAAAACAAACATTTCAAGGTTGGTAAGTGGTACAAAAATGTAGGCATAAATATGGAAAACATTTTGATGTACTCTGATATTGAAATGACAAAAGACTGATGGATAAATTCACAATTGAGGAACACATCCACCCATTTGTGGACTGAAAAGAAACCCTGTACAATAACCTACCCGAACACGATGCTTGGCTTCTATGAGGTATTGGGGGTCAAAGGGGATGCTAGCAGGCTGCATGAGGAGGCACAGCCAGACCCCGAGCCAGGGCATGACAGCGGCCACCAGGTAGTCGAGGGGAGCGCACCTGAGCAGCTGACTCCACACCTTCTGTACCAGGTCCAGCAGCTCCTGACGCTCCTCCAGCAGACTCCGCTGGAAGACGTGACGCAACACTTCCTGGAGGATGGGACACAGCCAGCTCCGCACCACCGGCTGGGAGAGGGAAATGAGGAACTATATTGTGTTGGACAGGGAGTAAGTTGGACTGCAGAATGGGAACAGTGTGTTTGTGAGAACACCTACAGAGCATGGAGACATATGAATAAACTGCATGTCTAAAAAATGCAGCAGTATCCTTATGACTGATCACCTGTCACTATCTGCGTCACCGGACACGACCTGCATTATCAGTCAATACCTGCATTATCAGTCAATACCTGCGTTGCCCGTCACTACCTGCATCACCGTACACGACCTGCATTATCAGTCAATACCTGGTTTACACTCGTGACGCTTACCCTTCACTACCAGCTACCCGTCACTACCAGTGTGAGCAGCCACTATGTGTGTTACATGTCACTACCTGTGTTACCCATCGCTACGCAGGTGTTATGTCACTACCTGTGTTACCCATCATTACGCAGTGTTACATGTCACTACCTGTGTTATCCATCACCTTCGCCGTGTGTTACATGTCACTACCTGTTACCCATCACTATGTGTGTTATGTCACTACCTGTGTTACCCATCACTACGCAGTGTTATGTCACTACCTGTGTTATCCATAATTACGCTGTTATTATGTCACTACCTGTGTTACCCATCACTACCAGTGTTACATGTCACTACCTGTGTTATCCATGTCACTACCTGTGTTACCCATCACTCACTACCTGTGTTACCTCCGTCACTACCTGTGTTACCCATCATCACTCCATCATTACGTTGTTACATGTCACTACCTGTGTTACCCATCATTACGTGTGTTACATGTCACTACCTGTGTTACCCATCACTACCTGTGTTACGTCACTACCTGTGTTACCCATCATTACGTGTTACATGTCACTACCTGTGTTACCCATCACTACCTGTGTTACATGTCACTACCTGTGTTACCCATCACTACGCAGTTACATGTGTTACTATCCGCGTGTGTTACCCATCACCCACGCTGTGTTACCCATCACTACGCAGGTTACCCGTACATGTCACTACCTGTGTTACCCACTACGCGTGTGTTACATCACTACCTGTGTTACCCATCACTACGTGTGTTACATGTCACTACCTGTGTTACCCATCACTACCTGTGTTACCCATCACTACCTGTGTTATCCACTGTGTTACATCACTCGTGTCACTACCTGTGTTAGCCATCACTACTTGTGTTACATGTCACTACCTGTGTAACCCATCACTACCTGCGCTACCCATTTGATGCATGAAAATCTGGCCTGAGGTTTCAGCAATGAATACGAAAGTTCGCAACAGACATAATCCTTCTGGATGCTCTGACACCATGCCACCATTCATGACAGCTAAACCTGCTTGGTTTTCTGGGTAAGGAGACAAACAACTACACAAAAGATTTTCTGATACATACTGATAAAATGTAGCAAACATGTTTTCCCCATCGTGGGTAAAGAAAGCCACCAGACACATATCAAGCATCTCATTTATGAGTTAATTCTCAAATTTCACTTTAACATTTTCAGCCAATCAAAATACAGCAAATCCATACAACTGATGATGACCGACACTGACCTGTTTTGTGTCGGGGGTGGCGATGGTGAGGAGTGTTGACAGTGTCTGCAGATCGGCACGCCGCACAGACACAATATTGTGACGCAGGAATGGGAAGAGGCGAGGTGTCAGCTGAGACAGGGATTCAGCTACACTGCAATGGACAGAAAGACGAGGATGAAGCACAGAGGAAGCACCACATGATAATCGGTAGTACATAAATGACCATCTAACAGGGTATGAATTACTTAATATTTAACCGACTAGTCCTTTAATAGTACTCTACCACAGTAAACAACAAAGATCCTATAATAATGAAATGGCTTTCAGATATCATGCAGTCGTTTGTTTGCTCACAGTTTCCCAAGATGCCAAATTAAAAAGAATTGTCACACAGTGCTTTTTTCTGTGTATGATATGTATGATATAAAGTGGTAAAATTTACAGTTTTATTAACGCATAACCAAAAATTTGAAAACATTCTAAAATCATAAGTATTTGCACTTGAACTTACACCATCAGATATTAATTTTAATATTCTACATATCTAAGTAATATTTAGTCGTAGGTAGGTTCAGTGCTATGTGAACTCAATTCTCCTGCAATCTTCACTTTTCAGAACTTGTGGAAATGTGTCAGAAAAATACTCAGCATCCAGGGGGTTAACTTACGTTGCTGTTGCGGCTGTCTTGGGATGAGCTAACAGTGTTGACAGCAACGTCATGATGGAGTTGGTTGAAGCAGTTAGATCATCGAGGTCGAGCAAGGTTTCCCATAAACATCGGATCACATGGGGCGTCTGATCAAAAACAAATTAATTATCTTCAACGATACATTTCCTTGTGGTCTTATATTTTAAATTCCTTCCATCTAACACATATCATGCCAATGACCTCAGGAAGTATAATCACTGCTCATGATTTCAGGAACTTATGGCACCAAAGAAAATTTCTTATGATGTCAACTTGGTTAAAACAATGTAATCTTGGAAATTTTAAATATAAATTGATATTTTATACTTATCCTGACTCATGCTCTTTTGCTTGTCTTCTTCTTCTTGCTAACATAGTGGAACACTTGTATCTCCTTATTTGAAGCTCCCTTCAAAATAAAATCACTAATTGGTACTCACCACGAAGTTGCTCCCTTTGTCTCCCCTGGCGGGAAAAGGTGTCGCCACCCTCTGGCCATGTGCTCCACTCTCCCTGATTTAGCTTGAGCCCAACACTTGAATTTACAGGGAAATCCAAAGTGTTATGTGGGGAGGATGGAGGGAGCATTCCCCATGAGTCAGGATAAGTATAAAATATCAATTTTACTCTAAAATTACATATTTTCCTTATCCTGACTCATGCTCTTTTGTTTGTAGCATCCTACGGAACGGAGGTGGGTAACAGAATACTTTGGATTTATAATTAGTGATTTTGTATAGATATACTGTAATATCTCCCCTACGGAACTTCATGAAGTCTTAGATTTAGGATGTTTCCTGTATAAAGAAAACCATAGGTTATATAAAGCCATTAAGGGGAATTACATTATGAATATATTGAACAATACATATAAATTATATATATATATATATAGGTGACTCTGATAGAGGCACTGAAATTGACTATATCCAAGTATATGCTTAAGGTAGAATACTTAAGCTGAACATATATACATAGCCCTAAACTCCTTAGAGTTATAAGCTAGATGAGTATGTATAAAATACATATTAATCTTGTGAGGCTAATATTTTAACGCCTACGCAGGGACTGTCAGTTGCTGAGCGAGGACCAGTGGTCCGAATGGTGAATGCCAGAGACATCTTCTGTAGTGATGTCTCTTAGGTAGTGATTAGCAAATACCATGTTAGATTTCCAATAGCATCCTTCCATAATCGCGGTTCAAGGAACAGTTACCGTAGGGCGCAGGGTAGAGGCCAGTGCCCTGATCTCATGTGGATTAGATGCTGTTGGTGGGTCCAAGCCTGCTGCCTTGTAGGCACGGAGAATGACAGTCCTTATCCAAATAGATATTGTGGTCCGCGATTACTTCTGTTTGATTCAGAGGGCTATAATGGGATGAATAAACGCTTGAGAAATCTTCTCCCTTTGTTTTGATCGTCAGAATAAACTTTGAGCCTTTTACCGACACAGTGATAGGTCTTGTGTATCTTGTGATCCGAGAATAGAGGATAGCTACGGATGTGGAATAATCTGTCTGGTTGACCTGGCAGTTGATTCTTTGCAATGAAATCCCATCTTAATCCGAGGTGCTTCTGTGTTATGATTGTCATCAAACTGTATCCTCTCGAATCCAGAGCTGAATTTCAGTGACATTCTTGCTGCTGTGGCTAGCGATAGCAGAAACAATGTTTTCTGTGAGAGAAATTCAAAGTTTGTCGATTCCATGGGTTCATAGACCTCACTCGCGGAGGTGTTGTAACACTACATTCAGATCCCAAGCTGGGGCGGAAACTTCCGCTTTGGTCCTCCAATCGAAAGCTCTCGTGAGTAAGGCCAGTAACTCTGGAGATCTTGTCAATTTGACACCCGCTCTCATGGTGATTACAGAGCTGCTGCAAGATATGTTGATATCGCTGAACCTTTTAAATGTTTGTTTTGGCGAGGTAACACAAATAGTCTGCCACTTGAGGTCAGTGAAGCCTCTTGCTGTAAACCCTTTCTTTGTTGCATAATTTTCGAACTGTGCCAATTTGTCGCCGCATTGCCACGAAGTTGAGTAACGTAAGGCAAGCGCGGACTGCTTTTGCCGCCTGGCAGAATATCCTCTCTTGTTTAAACACATTTGTATACAGTCCATAATACGTAGTTGGAACATTGCTGGGTTTCCGCACTTGTTTGGTGTGAGGATGAATTAACAGGTTTGGCGCGCTTTGCAGCACCAGTGTTGGCTGACCGATTTCTTGAATTAGTATGGGAAACCACGCTCTGGCCGCCAGTAGGGCCACCAAAGTGAGTTGTAGGCTCTGTGTTTGTCTGATTTTCTGTAATACTTGAGGTATTATTGCTGGCGGCGGAAACGCTGCAGACGCATTGAGGCCTTCCCATGATAGACTTAGAGTCGCCCGCTGCCCGCTTGGGGTCTGGGACTGGTGACACCTAATGTCGGTAGTTGATTGTTGAATCGCTGCGGGCTTAATAGGTCTATTAGCTGCCTCCTAATTGCTTGATTATCTGTGCAAAATTTCCTCGTTGATCATCCACCTGTCGGTGATGGTAGATGAGGCCGAGAGAGAGCCGCCTGCTAGTATATTTCTGGCCCGAATGTGCACTGCTTTGACATGTAGATTTAGATCTTGTATTAAATCGAACAGTTGAAAGCTTAGGTTCAAAAGGTTCATCGATCTCGCTGAGCCTTGCTTGTTTATGTAGAACGCCACTGTCGAATTGTCTGTATGGATCATTAGGCTGCCGCGATTTTGTAGAAATGTGCTCCAATGTAGAATGGCGCTGATTACAGCTTTCATTTCTAGACTGTTTATATGGAGTTTGCATTCTTGCTGATTCCATAACCCTGATATCGTGGTGGTTGGTGAGATGAGCTCCCCAACCTTGGAGTGACGCTGCCTACATACAGATGGGTTTTGTATTCCTGCTCTGCTAAACAAATCCCTCTTCGCAGACATTCGATTTTTGGTCCACCATAGTAGATGTGGTCTGAGATGTTTCGTAGACTGAATGGTTGTACATCGCTGAGATGTGCGCTGATGAGGACCTGTAGGGGACGAATCTGTAATCTGCCTGTGACAGTCATGTCTTGGGCTGATGTGAGAAGACCTAGTAGGCTCTGCCATTGTCGCAGTGGTAACGGAGAGAGTAGAGCTGGTGGAATGGTCTGTTGTATCTTGAGCCAACGGTCTTCTGGTACCATAATACGGTTGGCGATTTGTGATGAATCAATACCTAGGAACTGTAGGTCTTGGCGATGGTACTAGGTCCGACTTATGTGAAGTTTACTAACCAACCTAGTTGTGTTAGTAGCTTTATGATGTAGTTTAACTGTAGTTTGAGACGCAGTGGATCTTGATCTACTTGTATCCCGTCACCGAGGTAAAACGCGACTCGCGAGTCTCCCTTGACGATGTAGAAATTTGATAATCGGTTTCGCTATCCTCGTGAATAGCCAGGGGCTGATGATATTCCGAATGGGAGTACTTTCCACTGGTAATGTAGCCCTTCTAGAGTAAATCGTAGGTATTTCCTGAATCGGGATGAATGGGATGCAAGTAGGCATCCTGTAGATCTATGCTGCCCATGTAGTCCATAGGATCTAATCATCTGGCGAATCTGAGGTAAATGTATCATGCTAAACTTCGTGGTTTGGCGAGATAGTTCTTGTTGAAAAAGCTCATGTTGTAGATGAGTCTGTATTTCTCCTGCGGGAGTTTTTCTTGGGAACTAGGAAAACTGGGGAGTAGAAACCTGGTCTCGACGCTTGCTTGATCTATTACTTCTATGGCCTGTTTGGATAGGAGTGATGAGACAGCCTCTTTATCTTTGGTAGTTGTTGCTTTGTAAATCTAACTTGGGGGTTTGATTGTCAGCGGAGGCTTGTCCTGTAGAGGGATACTGCAAACTGCGGTTGAATAATGTTGGAGACGTAAGGATCTTGCAGTATTCCCCAGTTTTCCCAGTGTAGTTGGAGGCGCCCACCCACTTGAGTTGGTTGTACTGGAACGGCTGGGGTGGAAGACTCCAGTCGTTCAACCTGTGTTTCAGCTGCCTATAATTGCGGAACCTCTGGGTGTCCTGCCTCTTCCTGATCCTCCTCTATAGTTGCCATATGGGCTTACTTAAAAAGAATCTTTACCTCTAGAGCTGGCTATCTTCCTGTCTCTTGCTCTTTGTAGACCCGAACTTAGATCTGCCTGAGTATCTTTGTGAAGTCTGACTAATGACGCTGGCTAGTGTGTCCATCGATCTAATCATAAGGACTTCCCTGGAATCCTTAGAGACTTCCTTGGCTTAATCTTGTCGCATTTCTCCCGCCAAAGATGGATGTTGTCGACCACGGGCTGTATAAAGTGGGGCTGTAAAGTTCTCCCCCAATTACAGGAGGCGCAGGAGGCCTTGACGACGAGCTAAGGTCAGTGCTGCTGAAACAGATGTAAGATGATCCGCTAAAACTGCTGATCTTTCTTTGCATAAGTAAGGCAGAATAAATCATTCTATCATCTTCCGCCGTGGAATCCCGGAATCTAGTAATCAGAGTCTCATTGATCGCCCTAGATCTATTTAACCCAAAGAACATACGCCTCGCCATGGTTTCTATATGAGCCAACTTTACATCATCCATCTTGTAAATCTTGTTCTTTACATCGCTGATGATCTTATAGTTCTCATCGATGTCCTGGGCCTTGTAGAAGGAGTCCATGTTATGCGGAGAACTTCTTGGCTTGAAAGTTGGGTAGATGTGGTATCTGAACTTTCGTGAGCTTTCTGGAAAGCTGCATCTAGATTCTGTGGCACTGTCGCAATCGGGTCGATCGGGGTAGAGTGATTGCATCTGGATCATCTTCCTTCATCAAATACGCCTGAGCTGTATTGCCACTTTTAGATGGTGATGTGAGATCTAGGTTATTGACCATCCAATACCGTGATCTCTGCATCAGAAAATATGATTCCTCCATCATCCTCAAACCATCATCATTAATAAATTGTAGATGCTCTTCGACCGCGGTAGCTGTCTGAATATCTGATGAGGTTTGTGGCGCATCTAGTTGACTTGTGCGCTTCCTATGTGGAGATCTGATGGGTGATCGAATTCTGGTGATGAACGGAGTGGAGATCGCCTATGGGATGATCTTCCTCGAGACTTGTGAGGTGAATGTTGATAGCTTCGCTGGGCTCTTCGGCAGTCCCTCGATGTTCTTCTAGACGATGAAGATCTGGAATCATATGTCTTTCGAATGCCTTCGCTGGCTTCATTTGCGCCCGTCCGGGAATCGATGATATGACCTTCGCGAAGGCTTCCGCGATGTCTGATGGTCTGAGTCCATATCTAGAGATGAAATCGAAGATGGTGATGATCTCCCGCGCTTCGCTAAGGCCTTCGCCGGCTGTACATCTAGGTCCTTCGCCAAGGTGGTGCGGACTTCCTTCGCCAAGGTGACATCGCCTTGGCTGCTACGCTGACGGGGTGCCTCTCTGGGGTGCTGTTCACGCTGGAGCCTTCGCGGCGGTTCTCGGACTTCGCTTGCGCGAGTTTGTAGTGGTCCTCCATGATGTTCATAATCTGCCGCGATCATGTCTTCTGGGATGATCTGTGGAAGTCGCCGGGCGCTTTTTCTGCCATGGGGTTCACATCAATGACGCCTGACGCCGGTGTAGAGGCATCAGGCTGCATGGAGATCTCTGCAGAAGTCACAGTCGCTGACACCGGGTCAGCTTCTTCTGCCGTAAGTCGGGATGATTATCGGCTGATCATCGAGAGGCCCAACTCTGCTGCTGGAACGATCTCGCTGAGAAAGTTCTTGCTGTCTTCGTGATTTCCCTTTGGAAGTCTGCGCTGCCCTGGGTGTCCTCAATCTGCGCTGAGACGACGATGAGGCCCCTCTTAGACTTAGTCTGCAATGACGGGATGTCTGGGGAGGCCGGTCGCTTCTTCGAGGTAACGGACTGCGCCCCACGCCCTCCTGCCGCAGGGGTCTCTAGCAGAACACCAGACGGGAGAGGGTCGATCGCTAGCAGCTGACTGGAAGGAATATCTGACTCTCTGCCATGTTTTGCCCTTGTTTCATGATCTATCTGCAGCACGCCTTAAGACGCAAAGATGATATTTATTAAATGCAGAATGAGATAAATTAATGCAGTAACTGCAACGGAATTAAACGCGACACGGCGAGAACAACTAGGGCATATTACATGTGGATCGGAGGCAGAAAACGTGAATCTACAAATCGCATCGATTTTCATGAACGTAGCTAGCTGAACAATCACTTAATACACGGAATAAACAGTAGAAATAATGATAATTAATCAATACAAATAGTAAAGGATACTAGCTATACCTCTATAGTAACCTATGAGAGGTAAAACTAAGAGATTATCAAAGGATATGTGTGTAAGGAGACACAAGGCCTCTCACATCCTGCTCACTGGGCTTAAGAAGGAGAGAGTGAAGCACATGGCCAGAGGGTGGCTACACCTTTTCCGCCAGGGAGACAAAGGGGAGCAACTCGTGGTGAGTACCAATTAGTGATTTTATTTTGAAGGGAGCTTCAAATAAGGAGATACAAGTGTTCCACTATGTTCGCAAGAAGAAGAAGACAAGCAAAAGAGCATGAGTCAGGATAAGGAAAAATATGTAAACTTGGAAATTTTAAATATAAATTGTATATTATATACTTATCCTATCTCACGGTATGTACTTCTCTCTCTTGATTCTACACTGAGTGGAATGATGTAAACTTTTTTGCCTTGGCCTCTCTTGTCCATCCGCCCAAGCACTCCATGCTACCCTCATTATAAGACAGCTTCCTAGTTGTCATGCAAAGCATGCGGCATGCACCACTAGCTACCCACGTGACTATCTCCAAATCATCATTCTCATTCTTGGAGCCACTGGAATATCAATCGTGGAGAATCTGCGTCTTGGGGGACGAAAATAAGGCCTTGGTGCGTATGAAAGTTGCCCTGATGAATTGAAGGGTCTGGGTCGGTGTTAGTTCTGACTTCGCAGCGTTTAACATCCAACCTAGTTGCCGGAGAAGCTTCGTACTGAACTCCAGCTGATGTAGAAGAACGACTGGGTCTCTCTGTGCCTGAATGCAGACGTCTATGTAACTTCTGAACACGACCCCGTGGAGATGAAGAAACCTGGTGATCGGCTTGGTGATCCTGGTAAATAGCCATGGGGCTGTGGAAATTTCAAAAGGCAGGACGGTCCATTGATAATGGATCCCTTGGAATACGAATCGGAGGAATTTCCGTGAACTGGATGAACGGGCACATGAAGATAAACATCTTGAAGGTCTAGGCTGACAAGAAATCCCCTTTCTTCAGGATGGTGCGAAGAAGGACGAGGTGGGCGCTGGAGATAGTGGGCATTGAAAAGTTTCATGTTCAAAATGAGCCTTAGTTTTGTGTAGTTTTTTCTTGGGAACCAGAAAGATGGGGAATAGAATCCTGGAGTGTTGGGTGCCGGACCGAGAGACTGGACTGCACATTTCTCTATGAGCGCACCTACGGTGGAGTGAAGAAACTGGACCTGGTCCGCCGGGTAGCTGCGATGTACCGAATGCACTGTCAGCGGCGGGCGTCCGATGACTGGAAGTTGATAGCCTTTGGCGAGGAGGTCGGTCACGAAAGGATCGTCTAGTATGGTCCAGTTGGGAGCGAAACCTCCCTAGTCGCGTGTTCCTTCCCAGTCGTGTGTCCCTTTGTTTTGACGAAGTCACTGCTTGGGGCCCAACTCCCAACCCCGGCGTCGGACTTGGGAGGACATCGGGAAGAAGTGCCACAGGCACAATCCGAGTAGAGAGATGCGAGGAGGCAGGAGTCCCGTCAGAAGTCGTAGCATGCTGAGATCAAAGCTCGAAACCCCGTTGATTAGATCAACGATCCGTAGAACCATATCTATGTCTGGAGGAGGGCACGAACTGGGTGAGGACGGAACTTAGGAGAACGGGAGCGAGGAGGGGAGATATCGCAACGATAACGATGATCCCTGGATCTTGAACGATAGGCAGCAGTCAACCGTGAAGGAGATCTAGGTTGACGGGTCGAGTGCGCAGAACCGGAAGTCCCATGATGACGAGAAGACGAAGTCCGAGGAGGTGACTTGGAACGAAGAACCGATCTCAACGAAGCAGAGGGAGGCGTGTGCTTAGTTGAATGCGAACGAGTCGAAGAATGGCATCTCGGCGGTGAAGTAGACCTACCAGGTCAATCCGGTGAACAAATCCGAATAATAATAAGAGACTGATCCAGACGACTCAGTGAAAGCCGCGTTCGTGCTGAGGAGACACTACTGTAGGATCCAACAGAGTTCGGGAAAGTACTCGCGAGATGAGGCATTCCGCTGAATACCGCTTTGGAAGAAGGCTGTCGATTGAAGAAGAAGCGATTCACCACATGTTGTCTCAGTGGCCTTCCGCTTCGCGAATGTTGTCTCGGTGGCAAGTAGACTGGTTCCTCTCACTACTGGAACTTGTTTCGACGAAATACGATTAGGTAAAGTCTGTTTAGCAGATGATCGATCCGGAGAATGCTGAAGCTTAGACTGGTGTTTCGATGAAGACCGATTCAGTGAAAGCTGTTTAGTAGAGACTAAGTAGAGACTAATTCTGGGAAGGTGGACAGTCCGCGAAAAATCGAGGTAGAAGGGAGTGGACAGGCGAAGCGTGATCAGGCGAACTGTGATTCGATTCAATCTGGCAGGCTTCAGCGAAGCAGTAGACTGAGGTAGCTGGACGCAAGAAACAACACTTCCTTTCGCCGAATGGGAAGGAAATGGCGAAGTAACCACTGACAGGCATTGAGGCGAGGTAGAATGGTTCCTCTCACTACTGGATGAACGATGAGAGCGAGAACAGCTTCTGCGCATGCGCTCTGCGCAGTCAGGCGTAGAGATCAGCTGATTCTTGTCCGAAACAGATAAGCCAGGTTGCCGAGATAACTGGTCCGGAAAACGAGAGACGGAGAGCGTAGTTCGAAGGTCCCGCTGTGTAGAGGTATCCTGAGGGCTGGGAGCAGTCTCGACAACCACTACCCGGAACTGCCGAGCAGACAAAGTAGGACGCTTAAACTTTCCTTTCCTGGAGGGACTGGGTCCGGGCGTCAGCAACACGCAACACGAGTCCCATTTACACTGTCCCATACAGTCAACACAATACGTCAACATGTGGATCACTCGCGGAGAAAACTTTATTACACGGGGAGCAATTTTCCTCTTTTTTGGGGGGCTGGTCAGCTTTCCCCATGTTGTAGACTAAGTTGAAAACATTGAGCAAAGCAAAATACGTTCACACTCTTGTGCGACAAGAAAGAGAATGATGATTCAGAGATAGTCACGTGGGTAGCTAGTGGTGCATGCCGCATGCTTTGCATGACAACTAGGAAGCTGTCTTATAATGAGGGTAGCATGAAGTGCTTGGGCGGATGGACAAGAGGGGCCAAGGGAAAAAGTTTACATCGTTCCACTCAGTGTCGAATCAAGAGAGAGAAGTGCATACCGTGAGATAAGATAAGTTTAAAAATTTGTAGTGTTTAACATCAGTCACAAAGAGAAACATACAGAAAAACAAATGTATAATAGAGTCCAATCTGCAATCTTGGCTGGAAATCAAGAGAGATGAAACCCATGAGTATCAAGATGGAAGACTTTCCAAACCATTGAAACATAGTCAATACATTTGCTAAAACGTTACTTGAAAACTCGAACAATTCATTTCCATGACACTTTACAAGCATCACCTAACAGAAACATATTGCTATTGATCAATGCATAGACTCAAAGAATGACACTTGTTGCACGGTGGTATTCCATCCAATGGGATACTGGATGATCTGTGTCTTCCAGCATTGTGGCTCACAGTGTCACCATGCATGGATTTTCTGTATATGTCAGCAACGATATGGCACATGCTGCTACAACAATCACCTGTTCTGGCATCAGCATGACGAGTGTGTCTGTAACAGGAACAAGAGCAGCAGCCGCAACTGCTCTCACATCATCGTCAGGATCTTGCAGTCCCAGAAACACAGCCGGAAGAACCTTGGGCAACAATGCATTTGACATGTCCTGCAATAAACACACCAGATTACAGAGAGTGAGTGAGTTTAGTTTTACGCTGCACTCAGCAATATTCCAGTAACCGCCACTTTGTCACTTTTATCGGAGATAGGGATGACACCATGTTTGTTTACATTGACAATGCAACAGTGTAATTGTATTGCCATGATTACCTTTTGCAACATTGTATTTTTTGTTTTTCTACAACTGTTATATCCAAATAATTAGATGAAATAGTGATGTATTATAAATAAACAAAATTGCATGTTATTGAGTAATTATTTTCTTATTCTGGTGTTCAAGAGAGTTTGAGTGTAAAACAGTGAATGAACTGAAAAGATGAATGAAGTAGTTCCGGCATATTGTTACTAATGAAATCGCCTATTTTCTGAAACAGCCAATCAATGTGCACCTAAAGGTGTAACCTCTCTAGGGGCTTAGAGGAAAAATACTACCCTGTGTCCTCCTTCCCATCTTGGTAATAAAATTCTGTATATCCCCTCTTGTCATATTTCTCATGCCAAACATACAAATCGCTTTGTAAAAATTTATGCCATCCTTATCTCAAACTAAACTTTTGTAGGAAAGATTCACAGTTCGACCCACTAACCTGTCTGACTGCAAGGAGATATTTGAGACAAAGCAGTCCTCCATGTCGGACCTCCCACTGGCCTTGACCCAACAACTGTAGTAAAACTCCCACAATGCCCTCCACTTCCTGCATATCCAGATACTTGACAATGACACCGAGTGTCTGAGCACATGTCTCCCTGACTGGAGCTACCACCTGGAACATACAAGACATGCCAAGTCTCATCAACAAGATCAAGTCTGAGGGGAGAAATGTACCTAGATGATAGGTTGAATTAGAGACCATTCATAATTTATGGCTGGGGGTGGGGGTGGTGGTTTGATGATGAATTTTTATGGAGTTGCATGTACAATTTGAACGGGAAACAACACCCCTCTCCCCCATTTATCTACAAAGCAAGTGACCACCCTGCATGTCATGTAAAAATCAATGACCCCCAATAATTTTTAGCATATATTTTGAATCCTTTTATGAACCTTTTATGCTGACTTCCATAGTACATCTGTTCGAAATTGCTGACCCCCAAGGACAAAATGGGTGACACCCCCTTAAAATCATCATCACACACAGCCATAAATTATGAAAGTTGACACAGCCATGTTAGTTGAGATGTTCTCTTTTCTTTTTCTCTGTATATTATGACTTGGGGTAAGAATTAAGAAATTACTTGCATGAAAGCTTCCATGAAAACCTTTTACTACATTTACAGCTTCAACAGCTTGAGATACAAACCATTTAATCAAAATTGCTGTGTTGATATTGCAATACCTCACCTCATCGGACACAAAGTCGCCAAATCTATCTAGAGCAAGAACACATAGAACACGAAGGGCAAGGTCAGACAGCCATATATGGTTGACAGCAGGCAACTGAAAGGAAACACAAGATAAATATATAAGTCCAAAGTGTAAGCTTAAGGCACAATATTTCAATTCTATCATTATCTAATCATAATTATGATACATTCCCATGACAAATTTACCTCTGTCACTTCATTTCATAGTTGTAGTCAACTTGGCACTGAATGTATCTTGTCGAGAACTTTAGTCAACTTCCAATCAAAATGTCTCTTCAAAACTTGGGTCCAGAATAGATGTACATTCAAAATCACAACCTCCCCTAAGAGATCCCTTACCATATAAAACAAAATCAGAAGCAGAACTTCAAACAGATATTTTCCTGAGTAATAAGCATGATAAGAGTTGGTGTGAAGTTAGTTTGCCACTAGACAGTAGTATTTGAGATCACACACAATAATCAATTCGAGTACAGGGGATACTGACCCATGCTTCAATTATTAAACAACTCTACCTGGTCGGCCGGTGTGTCGTTTGTCTTCCCTGCCCCTCTTCCATGCAGCTTGATGACCTCCCGAAGTCCCGTCGCTGCCCCGTGCCTCGTCTCCCACGACGTGTGGAACAAGTCATTCATCAGCAACTCACAGAAAGACTCAAATGGCCACTCTTCCATCTGTGGAATATATGTTACCAATTCTTCATAACAAAAACAGTGGAGGGAGGGAGGTGGTCATTGAAAGAGCAGTAAGTGGTTTATTTTAACAGGAGAATGGTCTTGTATTGATACCGAGTAAAAAACATATCATGCTTTGTATTGTCGCATTTTTACTCACTATACGCAAGTGTACCAATGTATCATTTTGCCCCTAATAAACACAGGCCACACGTCAACATTTCATAGTAAACATGCATATTCACTTACAGAGAAACACAGTGCATGAAGACCTGTGAGTGAGTGAGTATGATTTTATCATATTCCAGCTACAGTACCTGGCCACAAGTATTCGTGATTTTGGAAATGACGTTGTTTTTGCTAAAACGAATGCGCTGTTTAGATTTGCACCGCGAGACACATTCAGCGTTCAGAAATGCTGATTTTCTAAAAATAGATTCCTAGTCATGTGCCTGTCAGGTGACATGCCTACAAGTTATCGTCTCTTGTTTACTTCCTCTCCTGGCAATCGCTCATGCAATGGTCGTTGAAGAAATCACATGATTTGACAACTGACACCTAAAAGAATTGATTTTAAAATTATACAAAGAAGACAGAAAAATTACAGAAATTGCTCAGCTGTTGGATAGATCTTGGTCAACTATGAAAAGTGTGGTAACAAAATATCAAGCGACTGGCTCAGTGGAAAACAAGCAGCGAAACGGACGAAGAAGACTATTCACTCATTGTGATCTAACGTCGTTGATCAGGTGTGTCAAAAACAATCGTCGGGCAACATTGGGAAATATTACAAACAAATTTAATGAAAATAAGACTCAAACATTCAGTGAGAGAACTGTCAGAAGAAAGTGTAATTTTGAAGGACATAAATGACGGATTGCCAAAAAACAGTGTCAACTCGGGAAGTTAACTTGAAAAACGCAGATTGTGGTGTCGGGAATGCAGGAATTTCACAGTTGATAATAACTGGAGTAAATACATTTTTTCTGACGAAAGTCAGGTTGTTATTGGAGGTGACAAGCGTGTGTATGTGTGGAGAAAGGGCGATGAAGTAAACTGGCCGCATTTAGTGTGTCGGCCCTCGCAACGTAAAGTGGTTTTGATTTGATGATATGGGGGTGTGTCACCTTCAAGGGGATTGGAACTCTTACCCCAGTAAATGGTAACATCAATGCTACAAAGTATATAGACATTCTTGAAAACAATCTTTGGCCAGTTATAGCCCGTCATTATACAAACGAGCCTTATGTATTCATGGACAATAATGCTCCCATACAAAATCTGGTTAAAAATTAAGAGGCGGTTGCAGCCCATCGCAACAACAAACTTTACGTGGAAATTCTGCTTGTGTGGGAAAATCTCTCACTGGATTATGATAGACACTGACATCGGACTTTACCTGACCTTGTACTGGAAGTGCTGCATATGAAGGGTCAACTGACAAAATATTTAGGTAAGACTTTCAAGCGTTATCAAGTTACACTGTTTTGAGTTTCCCTCCTTTTCCCGTGCGCATGACATCGTGAACGTCAAAATCACGAATACTTATGGCCAGGTACTGTATATGGGGGCGGTTTGTAAATAATCGAGCCTGGACCAGACAATCCAGTGCATGAAGACCTGTGAGTGAGTGAGTGAGTATGATTTTATCATATTCCAGCTATATGGGGGCGGTCTGTAAATAATCAAGCCTGGACCAGACAATCCAGCGATCAACATCATGAGCATCGATCTACAGAATTGGGATACGATGACATGTGTGACCACCTTTACCGTTAGCCGCCTCTGGCTGCTGGGTTGCTGAAGACCAATTGTAACCCAGCAATAGCACGGCAGAAAATGGGATGAACACTTTGTATCCTCTGTCAGGAATTAAACATGGGATTTTGGGTGACGAGCAAACCACTAGGCAACCTCAATGCCCCTGGAGACCTGTGAAGTACTAACAAAGGTGAAGTGCCCGACACACTGCCCCAGAGTGACCCACCTCTTCAAAGTTCAGTGTGGTGTCTGAGGAATCTATGACCAGCTTGTCATCAACTCCATCCTCACTTGATGGCGTGGTCGGACGCTGTCGCTTGGTTGGAGGTTCGTTTTCTGTACTGCCATCACAACTGAGGAGATAGGATTAACTTTACTGGACTAAAGCATAAACTGTGTTCGGTAATATACAGTCATGAGATAATTCTGAGTCAATAGCACAATTCAGACAACCATGCACAGTGTCACATTTTGTTAACCAATATTTGAGTTTAAGTTTTCAAAACAAGTGTAGAAGTGAGCACAGCTCACATACACCCGCTTCCCACTTTGGGACATGCAAATGACTGATATTGATATATATAATGTGACAAGGATCAGCAGCTCACAAGACTTCCTCTTTGACTCTACTAAACTTTATATACATGTTAGATAATAGTTTTGGCATGTACTGATTATGGTAATAATTTATGGAAACTAGATTTTTTTGTGTTTTCCGTGGAAACCTGACATACAATTGAACTTGACTGTCTCATGTTGCACACAATGAAGTGAACGTAGATGAAGATTACTATTTTTTAGCACATGGCATATCTGTGGGTCATGATTAACTTGTGTATTAAGTTTGTTGAACCTAGCATGTATAGTTTCGATGATATGCCGTGGTCAGGTAACCATCAAACACATTTTGCATGTACCTAGCATGAACCTAGCTTTAAGAGATATGCTCCGGACAAAACCATCAAACACATTTGGCACTAAGTTATGTTTCCATGGAAACGGCAAAAAAACAAAATTCTGAAAATCCTTTGAAATAGCAAAAGGCACATCAATGGGTAATGATTAACGTGTGTGAAGTTTGGTGAACCTAGCATGTAAACACATTTGGCACTAAGTCATGTTTCCATGGAAACAGCACAAAATACAATTCATATCTGGATCTAAACCCCAAAAGGCACATCTAGGGATCATGCTTGATATGTGTACCAAGTCTGATGAAGCTAGCATGTATAGTTTGGAAGATCTGCTCCGGACAAGATGACATCCTCATAGTCACAGCCTAAGTCGTGTTTCCATGGAAACAGCAAAAAATACAATTCATATCTGGATCTAAACCCCAAAAGGCACATCTAGGGATCATGCTTGATATGTGTACCAAGTTTGATGAAGCTAGCATGTATAGTTTGGAAGATCTGCTCCGGACAAGATCAAGATGACATCCTCATAGTCACAGCCTAAGTCGTGTTTCCATGGAAACATCAAAAAACCAAAATTCTGAAAAAACTTTAAAATAGCAAAAGGCACATCAATGGGTAATGATTAACATGTGTGTGAAGTTTGGTGAATCTAGCATGTAAACTTTAAGAGATATGCTCCGGACAAAGTTTCGGGACAGACGGACAGAATGAACGCTATATACCCCCGTTACTTCGTAGCGGGGGTATAAAAATCACCACACACAGACATATTACAAGTAAGGCCTGAAAATATCAAGTCTGGACCAGAAAATCCACTGACATAATAACTCACATCATGCTCATTTATAATCTTTTGAAAGCCATGAGCACAACTTTTGGAATCCTGGATGTATTTTGAGCTTCTATTCCAACCGTCTGGCTGCTATACCATTAACTGAGCATCATTTTCTTTATTCAGACAAACCCAAGCTCCTCACCTCTGGGACTCCCGAGATTTCTGTTTCATGATGTGTTTTGCCCTCCGCTTGGCCCTGTTGCGTTCCCGGGCACTCATCCCGCCCATCACATCCAGGAGCTGCTGCTTCACAATTTCAGCAACGGGCTGCAGAAGGTACGTAGTAGGTTAGGGCAGGGGTTTAACATGACGCGAATTCTTGCGTCTTATACGCATAAAAAATGACAATGGACGCAACAAAATTAATTAATGCGTCCACAGGGACTCAGAAGAAGTCCAAATAGTTTTTGTAAAAATTCCAATCAAAAGACAATAAGTTATCACTGAGTTTGCTACTAACTGGGTTATGGTATTATTTGCAATTTAATTACTGTAAAAATGTGATGATCATGATACACAACACAATAACAGTATTCATAATAATATTTAAGTGTCTGGGACCCCCATTTTGTTGTCCAGGACCCCTGAAAATTAAGAGTGTGAGTCCCAGGGACCCTCAAATACAGGACTCAAGGTATATCCCTGTTAGGGTTATATCTGATTTAAACAGTGTTTAAGTTGCATGACAAGGTGTCGGTTTCATGAAGGGGTCAGATTAGGACAGGCCATTAGCGGGATAGTGCTAACGTACCAGCGATCACAGACTGGATGAATTTGGGGTTTGAACCCACAACCTGCTTATCCTGTTGCCATGGTTTCACTTAGAGGACACACCATTCAAGAACAACTTTTGGTCCCTTAAATCATGAGCATATGCATTTTGCATCATGTCCATAAAACTATTTCCAACTTCATTGCAGACATACACAACAGATTAAACTGTCCCTTGTGTTCACAAACAACCATCACAATGATCAAACTGTGTTCCATCTGCCTGTACATACACAGAACAGACTACCCCCATGACGACACAGTCTCCTACCTGGCTACAGATGTTCTTGCTACTGGACTGCCCATTGCTCTGGGCAGCCATGAGATCTTCATCATTGAAGATATTGTCGGTGTCAATCCCAAGGTTACCAGCTATATCCAGCCCAAGGCGTTTGTTCAGCAGCTGCCTCTGTCGTATCAGGGACTCTTGGTCACCCAGAGCTGGAAAAGGCAAACAACAGTTATATATTCTTGGTTACACAGTGCTAGATCGGCATAACAAAAGAGTGTTTGAAACAGTGTTTGAAATAAAAGGGGGATTTGAGGTTTGCTCCAGGTTTTAGAAATCAAACGCCATTAGGAAGGAAAATGTTATTCTTTTAATCCTTGTAGCAGGTTACAATGCATGATAATACTTCTGTTGGCGAGAAGGATGACACTGCCTTGTTGGCAATGGTAACCATCGTTACCATCCCTGCAACCTTCCCATGAACACGTAGAAATTTGAGTTGGTAACATTGTTAACCATGTACTTAAAAGTGTTTTATATATATCATTGTGTTATGTGTTATCTGATGACTCTATTAATAGTATTATCGCATATACAATTGTAAAATATGTAAGTAACTTATAAAAGATAACTTTAACCCAAACACAAGCCATCACTGAAGAGAGAGTGAGTGATTATGGCTTAACGCCGCTTTTAGCAATAGTCCAGCAATAACACGACAGGGGACACCAGAAATGGGTTTCACACATTGTACCCATGTGGGGAATCGAACCCGGGTCTTTGGTGTGATGAGCCAATGCTTTAACCACTAGGCTACCCCACCGCACCCCATCACTGAAGAGATTACAATATCAGTGTGACAAAACACGCCTTGTTAGTGCCCGAGTGAGCACTGCCATCCGAAAACATATGACATCCTTAAACCTTTGAATCGATGATATATGTGATCCAGTAGAAATCATGAAGCAACATGATTATCTCACCAAGCCTCGTCAATGACCAGACATCTGAACCTTTATCATCTGTTCTCTCAGGTTTGAGAAAAAGAGGTTCTGCATTAACACTGACTTACCCATAGCTGACATGTCCACATCATACTGGGCGCCCTCAGAGCCGAGCAGTGATGTTCCATATGCCAACACCTTGTTGATGTCAAAGTGGGAGAACAAGATGCGCCCGGCCACATGTGCTGATGAGGGTGACGGGAACTCTAAACATTCGGACAAATTCATCAATGGGCATGAATGTCTTCACATGCTCATGAGCTATATGGCGGCGGTCTGTAAATAATCGAGTCTGGACCAGACACTCCAGTGATCAACAGCATGAGCATGGACCTGAGCAAGTGGGAACCGCACAAGGCTCATGACATTCACTAAGCCACTGAACACTGGCTTGGATCAGCGCTTGGAACATAGTTAGTGTCAGACACTTTCTTAATCAGACATTGTTTTAAGAATTATAGAACAAAGAGACAATAATGCTTGTAATCATGAATATCACGCAATGAATACCCTTGTCATTCCTAATAGATGATACTTACCAAAAACATGCAAAGGTAATGATATCTATTAATCCTGTAAAGTAACCATGGTAACTTACCTGATTTGGGAGCTCCTCTGGGTTCCCACTGCGGGACATGTTTGGCAATAGCTTCTACTGCTAACCCTGCAGCAATACGAGTCTCCCAGTTACTGCTGCACAGGTAGCCATGAATCTGAAGAGTAAAAGCCATCAGACATTACCTGCTGCAGCTGTTGGTTGAGAGAGTTCCATGACGCTTTGAACGATTCAACTTCGGAACCAGTAGGGGTATCAGGTTATTTGTTTAAGCTAACAACAGCTATGTATGTGAAGACTACAATCAACCATAAATGTGTCATTGAAGTGGCGCTTACATCTATTATAAACTGCATTAAACTTCATATACAGCTTTAAAGAAAACGTAATTCCTCATGGCGATGTTATGGCATTGGTTTTTGTGACCTTGACCTTTGGTCCAACCTTGACCTTTGGCCTGAAGAGTCAGCGATGTAATCACTAGGTTACTCAGCTGACCCAGTGTTTAGTACTAGCATTAAACAACAAACATATCTATGGTTCATAGCTTGACTATTCCACATTGATGATCATATAGCTGGAACGTTTCCACACTCGGCTCACACAAATGACTACAAAATCATACCAGCCCCATAGCCAATGTATCTCAAACCAAGTATCAGCAGATGCTGGCACTGAAAATGTAACCATGGCAACCCATGTTGGGGGATGTACCTTGGACAGAAGGTTGTGGAGCTCATAAGGATGCAGCTTCTGCACCTCTCCAAGCTGGTCAGCGGCAGACTTCCGGATGAGAGGCGTAGACCCTGTGTCCAGCAACAGGAACAGGCGATCTAATCTGGAAGCAGAACAACCTTCTTACAACACCGTCATTGAGTGATTTGGGCTTTACGCCACTTTGAGCAATATTACAGCAAGATCCTGACACCTGAAATGGCTTCACACATTGCACCTATGTGTGGAATCTACGTGAACAGTGAACGCTGTAACCTGTAGGGTGCCCCACAAACCCACCGCCCCCAATCATTGAAATACATGATTACATGATCACAAAGGATGTTTAAACAAACATCTACAATCTCTCGTTTCAGTCATCCATAACATCCGGGTTAGAACAACCTAAGAAAGAGTTGGTTTTTTTCCTCCTTTGTTGTTTAACATGTGACAACCAAGTCAGCAAGCCTGACAACCAAGATCAAAAAGAAACCATTGTTCATTTGATGTTTGAATGCAGATACGTAAATGGGCTGTGGCAAGACCTTTTAAATTGGATTGAAGATAAAACAGACACTACTATATATAAACCTGGATCCGAAAACAATCCTCTGGGCTTTCATGAAAAACGTAACGATGTTCTGAACTTAATATTTATCATAACAAAGGAATATATATATTCCAGAAAACTAGCAAATATACGTCCAACCCTTGAAAGTCTCAAAGCCAAATTAAACCACAGTTACAATCTCCATAAATATAATGCATACTCGGTATGCAAATGTAGCAAGTTCACGACTTTCTGGTCATCATGCCACAACTTATTTACATAACCTACTCGATCTCACTTATGCTTGTTACTTCATTGTGCTGTGTATTTGAAATAATGTTGTGTATGAATGATAAAACTGTACCAATGCGTAAAAAGAAATAAAGTGAAAAAAAAAAAAAAAAGATCTTCATGGGTATGATTATTATGCTTATGTGTAGGATATGGTCTGAAAAGTTGAGTTTAATTTTGTATGTGGGATTGGTTTGAGGCTGTTTTGATATATTTTGTTATGATGATATGAGTTGAAAGGAGTCATTTGAGATTGTTTCCAAAACATTTATGACATGCATGTATCATTGTATTCAAAATTACATCCTCACATAAAATGTGTACATCAAAGTGTCTACTAATGATCTTAAACATGTCTATGTACTGCAGGACAATCAAACTATTGGAGGATGAAATGTAGGGAGAGCTATTGGAGGGCTTTTGTTCAATGTTCAGACAATAGGTGCTTTAATCATGTACGCCCATGACCATTCTTCAAATAACATTCATCTGACTGTGTTTTAATGTGTATATCATCACCTGATGAAGGGTCAAGAACTAGCCCTGAAATTGTTGTTACAAGGTTATATGTCTTTACATATTATTTTTCAGTCCTGCTTGTATAATAATCTTGCAGTACACAATCTTTGACAGCCATAATCTTACTGTTTGTCCAGTTTTCCAACCTGCCCACTTTTAAATTTCAGGAATTTGGTGCAAAACAAATAATCTAAGTCTATGCAAATATTAATCCTACTAAGAGGTCTCCCTGTCTGGTAATGGCACCTAAAAGTTAATTTTTAATCACTGACCATCTGATCAATCCTTATAAACAGGATAAAACCTATTTCATAATTTGGTATGTTGTACTATACTATACTTGAAACCTGAATATAGCACAAACAAAAAACAACTCTCACACGTATGTTCAAATATAGCACTTAAAAGAATATTTTGGAAATGGACAAGATAATTTTCAGTGGCAACAAATTGTAATGCAAAAGATGAATAAAGCATGCTAAGTGTGATAATAAAATAAAATAAAATTATTTAATAAAAAAACTTTGTGAACTAAACATTCCAAATATTTATCCACATATATATGATAAATCACCATGAAGGGCTGTATTCCTAAAGTTACAAACTGACAATATAAGATTTCTATAACACACGTCTTGCAATCGGTTTTGTACCTTCCAGAAGAGAGTTAAACAATGAAGTGCACAGCCAACATAAACCCTTGACATGAAGAAAGGTCATGCATGGGTGGCTTACGGAGAACAGACATAATTTCAAGGAAGAACTGAAAGCATCAAACATTAATCCATCATGATCCATGCCTCCTTTGTCTTTGACTCTGCATTAAATAAGTGTAGGATTGTAAAACCTCAGTGTCAGGAAATCCCGTGTTTCCTGTTTTAATCTAACGGAGTTATCTAACTTATAAACCGTCTAAGACAACACTTAATTTCAATTTGTGCATGTACTGAGTAGAACAACATTGATGGAACAGCCCGCAAATGATGGAACAGCCGGTGTCAACTGGGATGCGACTGGCAGCCAACACCTTGCCCCGCCGCGCCAAATGCTCGTGCTCTGCCGCGCTACCCGTGTCCTGCATAATGTGCTGCCGCGAATGCGCGTGTAATGCGGTCGTGTGAGAAACACATGGTTCATACTGACAAACAATCTCATTCCTCACAGCGATCCCTTCCGTAGCGTAGTGGATAAAACAGCAAAGCTAGAGAGCGAAGGGTTGCGGGTTCGAAACCAGTTATCCCCACTGAATATTGGAAGTTTTCAATAATTAGATATTTTACGATCAGTCATAGCAAGACAAAGTTGCATCAGTCATAAAAAATAGCCATTTCAAAACCTCATCGGGGTATGAGGTTTTACAACGACCATTGTAAAACTTCGTACCTCGTATGAGGTTTTACAATGGTCATTGTAAAACCTCCTGCGAGGTATTACAATGATCATTGTAAAACCTCCTGCAATCGTAAAACCTCTACCGAGGTTGCAAAGCAACTGCAAGAACAATAGACAACATTGGCCATAGGTTTATAAGTGTGGTTAGTCAGACTTCCAGATAAGGCGCATACTTGCATAGCAAAATAAATCACCACTGCACAATCAATTTTGAGTTCTTTGCATAAAAATATGCATGAACACTTGTTCAAACATAACAGTACCACACGCTGTGAAATTGAATTACCAAAGTGTCAACTTCAGCATGTTCAATATTATTCTTTATTGATCTTTATTCACTGAAAGATTGCAGACATCACTCATCAGTAAAGTGTGCTCAGTGTACAAAATATAGGTCTTGCTTATAATTGTTAATGTTAATTTGACACAAACCGTCACTGTTGTCAGATTTTGTGACATGTTACAGATTTTACAGCAAATGAGTGAGTTTTGGTTTAACGCCGCTTTAAGCAATATCATGGTGGGGAGACCAGAAATCAGCTTCACACATTGTACCCATGTGGGGAATCGAACCCAGGCCTTCGGCGTGATGAGCAAACACTTTAACCACTAGGCTACCCCACCGCCCTATAGACCTAAGAAAGGAGAGCATCAATACCCAATCTGTTAATGTGCGAGTATATACTCAACATCTACAGAAACTATCTGGATTTCTGGTTTTTGTCTGGTTAGTTAAAATCTGCATGTTAAGACGAAACCTTTTTTTCTGTCATGAATACACAATGCCATTTAGAAAGTGGTCAAATGCAACATACATTATATTTGGTATTACACCTCACCTCAATAAAGTACAGACTGATTTTGTTGGGTTGAGTCACATCCAGGAAGTCAACCCACACTCTCAGAGTCACCTAATCGCCAGCACACAAAGTCAGGGTGCCGTTCCACTAACCGATCTTAGCCCTATGCCAATCATAAACCCCTAAAATCCCAATCTTAGCGTGACGTTACGATCGGCATACCGTTCCACTAACCAATCTTACCTAAGTCAATCGTAAAGTTAAGATTCAAAGTCTAAGTTGCTCATGACCAACTTAGGATAGCTAAAATCAATCGTAGAGAAACCAAAATGGTGACATTCCTATTCTTTGTGAAAAATAAGAGCGAGCATTTCACCGTAAATGTCCCCTAAAGTCCCCAATGAAATGAATTTGTATATTTCTGTGATGTAAACAAACACTGCACTGAAGCCTTACAAATGTCAGGCCAGTCTGACCACTGTCGTCATGGGAACACAACCCAGTCGGCGTAACACATTTGTACAACAATATTGCAACGTCATGGTTAAGAATAGGGACAGCCCTGAAGTGAACAATGTTCTGAAGCAAAAAGATACAAATATGTTTGATTTCACTGGGCATATTTGGTGTGGTATTCTAAAGACAGGCCGCGTGTTATTCAAGACCACTGACAGATTCTACATACGTTATATATAGCCTCGTCACGCCTTTTGTTTATTCTGATTGACAAGGTTCAGGCACATATTAAAAGCTCTGACACAATGACATTTTTAAAGTCCAGACTTAAAACCTGTTCTCAGTATATTACTTATAATCTCGGCTGTAAATATTCTCGTGTAAATTATCTGTACACAGCTTTGAGCATGCCCAAGGATGTGGAATAGGCACTATAAATATGCATTTATTTTTATTATATTATGCTTGATACCCAGCGTTTCTCACGCTTGCACCTGAAACCAAGGTGCTCACTACCCTAATATTTTGCTCTAGGTTTTTCTCCACGTTTACACTTGGTTGGAAAAATACCCATGAAGGCCCGGGTTAGAATATTGAACTTCAATAACCCATGCTTGTCGTAAGAGGCCACTAACGGGATCGGTGGTCAGGCTCGCTGACTTGGTTGACATGTCATCGGTTCCCAACTGCGCAGATCGATCGCATGCTGTTGATCACTGGATTGTCTGGTTTAGACTTCGATTATTTATAGCTAAGATACATAGCGTTCACTAACATGAACACTCATGCTAGTGAGCGCTATGCATCTTAGCTAGATTATTTACAGACCGCCGCCATATAGCTGGACTATTGCTGAGGGCAGCGTAAATCTAAACTCACTCACTCACTCAGTTGGTTCGTAAACTACTTCCATCATTTGCTAGACTATGCAAAGGGAGATAACTCATGCCTCGCATTCCTCTATCTCTCGCGACGAAAGAGTCTCGATCTAAGCTTGGATCGGATCATAAGATCGGGACCGGCTACGATCGGCCTAAGATCGGTTAGTGGAACGGGTGTAACTTTTAGCTAAGACGATTGTAAAATTGGCGTAACTTGCTAAGATTGATCTTAGTTAAGATCGGTTAGTGGAACGGCACCCAGGCATCTAACCCATTTAGCCACCGCGACTTCCACAAAGTAGTCTTGATCACAGACCTTGTGTACCACTCTGACAAGTGCAAATTGGCACAACTCCCACAGCCAAAAGCTATGAACACACTATGTCATTTAGAAAGTGGTCAAATGTAACAAGTTAAATTTGGGATTACACTTTCTCCGTAAAGTACAAATTCTAGTACTTTTGTTTAAGTCCGCACTCAGCAATATTCCAGCCATAAGGCGGTGGTCTGTAAATAATAGAGTCTGGACCAGGCTATACAGTGATCAACAGCATGAGAAACGATACAATGACGTGTCAAACAAGTCAGCAAGCCTGACCACCCGATCCTGTTAATTGCCCCTCACGACAAGTATGTACCTTCACGAGTGACATGCTAAAATGAGAAGGAGAAGCATATTGGTAACTTTGGGACAATATCAAAAGCAAATCTGCTTGTTTTACACAGACGTTAAATAATGGTCAGATGTCATCATAAACCGACAACAAATATTGAAAACTATAAAGTTTTAAACCAGTTACAACAATCTTGTTTCCTAATACCATTATAATGATCTGTCATATCGGTCTGTACTTGCAGGGTTTTACATAATGCAAAATACTACATTCAATGTGCCTAAAATCCTCAGTGAAGACTGAATTTTTAAGCATCCTGGAAGCCAAAGGAGACAAAATAAATTTTATCATTTTGTTTGAGGGGATAAGATGTCTCTAACAATGTTTGGATCAAACCATGAACATAACCAACAATACATCTTTCCACCAGTTCAAAATGGGAACAGGTTTCAAGATTACATCTAGTGATTGTTGTGTGCTTACAAACATGACACTGATACTTAAGGGAATATCAGTTAACATGATTAACATCTTTTCAATTTTCACTAATTGTGTTTGGATTCATGACAAATTTAGACATGAATGAAGGTGAGGTGAGGTGAGGTGAAATTGGGTTTTACGTCGTGCTTGAGAATATTTTGCTCATATGACGACATGCATACGTGTGTATGTGTATGTGTATGTGCGCGGCTGCTTGTACTAGCCCAGACTTAAGTTGGTTTTATAGTGCTAGCCCACTGAGATACCATCCCGCAGTGAAGCATGAATACCCCACTCAGACACATTATACTGACTCCGAGCCGACCAGTCCTTGTTGTACCCATTAATGCCGAGCACCAGGCAGGGACCAACAAGTACCATATTTTAACGTCTTTTGGTATGACGCGGTCGGGGATCGAACCCGCGACCTTCCGACTCTCCGGGCGGACGCTCTAACCACTACACCATGGAGGCGGTGACAATGAATTAAGGAAAAGGTTACAAGAAAAGAACAAACATGAACATTGCACATATAGATTTTCTCTGAATCTTGATCACACTGTTCAGTACTGAAATTGAAATTAATGGCATTTGTATGAGAACACTCAACTTGATCGTCCTTGGTTGCAGATATATAAATATCTTCATGAATTAACAAAATGGCTAGAGACTTTTTGTGTTCATATTGATATTTAGTAAACACTGAAATGCTATATTTCACTTTTCATGGCTAATCGTTTATTATTATTTGTATGAGTGACAGGAAGCAAATGTCATCACATGAAATAAAGTAGCAACATAAACTGACAATCAAACTGCCATTCGAACCTACCAAGAAATATCAGTCCTACATAAAATATGACATTATTATCTAGACCAGTCACCATTTTTTAACACACGTCAAACGAAAGAGTGTACCGCTGTAAAATGCTGTGGTAGGAACATTCTTACTATGCACTCTAATTACCTCGTGGTCATACGTTTGCTTTAATGGCAATGTAGATGTGAAGAAATCAGACGGGTTTGTCTACGTCAGCTGGAGGTCGGCGGTAAATATTTCCCTTAGGATGACACCCTTCAACCGGATGCTGCCATGTCAAGTCGAGAACTGAAGCAACCTCTTTTGAGACAGCAGCAGTATCCGTATGGATAGAAACTTGCTGAAATCCACTATATTTTTCGTCTAAAAGATTGTAAATGCAAACATTTTGCAAGAAGTTGAGCACAGTTTGACTCTGAAAGACAACAGGGTTGACAATCAGTGCATTCGGAGTTAAACTTCCCGAGACCCTGCCCGTTCCGCGGCGAACATTTATACTGACGGCCATGTTGAACCTCTAGCCTAAAATAGCAGTGTACGAAGATGTTGATTGGCCAGAAAACCAAGAGTGTCATTACTTTTGACCAATGAAAGCTATCTGGATTTATTGACGGTTTGTGGTAGTCGCTACAAATATCATTTGTCACCCTTTATAATAAAGGCGAGCTTTACGTCTCAATATATTTATGGCTTCTTCCCCGCCCCTCCATGTCTGATGCCGGAACGCTAAAACTCGTCAAATCTAAAACACAAATATCTTAGAGCAACGAAAATCGCCTTGGTGTCACAACGGCTCTCTACAGGGTTCTTATACAAAGAAAGAAGCGGTAGGTCATATGACAACACAGTGTAAGAAGTTTAACGACCCTACGCATGATTGATCTTGTTTCAATGAGAGCTCTCCTTACATGTACATGTACATTTGAATGAAACGAAAAACATCTATAAAATGTCAGTCTGTAGGAATTGAAGGGGTACTATTTTCGATCAAAATGACACTTTTCGAAAGGTTAATTCAAATTCGTCAATGTATTACAATTTTACTATGCCAAGTCACAATTACATAAACTATATAATATGCAGAGAGAATATCTCAGTTCCATATATGACAGTAGTGATTTAAACTTAGGCTGGAAATTGACACGAGCTAGAGCAGCCTGTTCCTTTCAGAGGAGTTGGAATTTTGAAATCTCATTACACTTTATATAATAGGTAACCATTGTTATATTTGAGATGACTTAGTTCGTTTCTCGTCATACATATTGTACAAATTCCCATTGTGTGGAAGCCTCGTTGGCTGTGTGGATCAGATAGCTGACCTGCTGTGCTGACAATTTGTTGCCTGCAGCTGACTCTCCAAAGCTGCAAAGCACTAGCATTTGTACTTTAATGAGACAATGTAACCCCAAATTCACTGTTGCATTCGACACTTTCTAAAAGGCTTTGTATATTCACATTTTTATATTTCAATAAATATTCTCATTCTGCTTGTGGTAGATGAGCTGATATTCACGTGGGTTAAAAAGAATAGCCGATTATTTAATAGACGCTATAGAAGGGTAATCTTAATTTGCACCAACAGTAAAGTGGTATAATAAGTTAGTTTGGCGATTTAGGAGCGCCGGATCTTGCTCATTTTTAGCTTTGTACTTGTTCTATTTCAGTGACGGCGAGGGACACCAGAAATGGGCTTCACACATTGTACCCATGTGGGGAATCGAACCCGCGTCTTCGGTGTGACGAGCCAACGCTTTAACCACTAGGCCACCCAACCGCCCCTCTATTTCAGTAGGCCGAGTTTATGAACTCCGGATTCTGTCAGTTCCTGAACTACGTATTCTCTCAGTTCATGATCTACGTATTCTCTTAATTAATTAACAACATATTCTCTTAGTTCCTGATCTACGTGTACTCTCAGTTCACGAACAACGTATTATCTCTGTTCATGATCCGCGTATTCTCTCAGTTCATGATCTACGTATTCTCACTTCATGATCTACGTATTTTCTTAATGAACAACGTAATCTCTTAGTTCATGGTCTACGTATTCTCTTAATTCATGAAAAACGTATTATCTCATTGTTAAATGTCACAATACAGAGGTGTATACTGCAGGATCTGCCACAGGATCCGTATCTGGACCAGCTGGCGTTGTTCCTTGGACTGTCAGTGCTATTTATCAGCGAAGTAAGCATCATTCTACAACCTGCGTTCAGTCGTGCTGCCTTCCTCTGTCAAAAGATAGAAACTGTTCCAAATTGCGTAAATCGAACTCAGTCACCCACATATACAGGATAGACTACAATAATCGTTAAGAAGAAGATACATACATACATGTATATGTATAGCGAAACCCTGTATATCTGGACGTTGTGTTCGAATGTAAATCGTCCCGATTACCTGACCTTGCTATGTGGATGTTCACAGCAGCGATGGCACGGATAGATTGTTCGTCTGTAAATAATCGAGTCCGGACCAGGCAATCCAGTGATCAACAGCATGAACATTGATATACACGACTGGGATATGATGACATGTGTCAACCAAGTCAGCGAGCCTGACCACCCGATCCCGTTAGTCGCTTCTTTTGAGAAGCATGGGCTACTAAAGACCAATAGAAATATTCTAGCCCGGATCTTCACGGTGTGATCGCTGGGAATGCCGGGGCCTTGACGAACGTGGACATAAAGACACTATGAGACATTAGACTGTTTTGTCCTTTTTCATAATATGGCAGGTTAGGAACCGATTTTTTATATGAAGGTGTTTCAGTTACCACTTCAAGATTTGGAGAACCTACATGAAGTTTATTGTCATATCATCTAGCAAGGCCAACGTAAATCAATGTGGTCGGCCTGAAATGAATAAAAAGACGAAACGTAATCTTTCCAGCCTTGCTCCAAGCCGTACTGAATGCTAACCGAATGGCTATATAGCAATTCTATCCTTTAAAGAGGCAGGTCTAGATAAAGACGCTAGTCTGTTAGAGGGACAATGTGTTCTTTTTATTCATATTTTTAGATAGAAATTATCATTTAAACTAGTATTTATTACCTAAGAGACTCGCAAGTCTGTAATTTTTCCGTTGTTGTCCATAGTGTGAAATGCCCGCTGTTATACACGGTGTACCGTTACTATATAGATCCATATGGATAACGGTAAAGGTGTAATACCTAATATCGACGGGACAACAGATGGCTGAAGATGAGTCTGATTGCATGTATACAGGTGACAATATATAGTGTGAACACACACAGGATCAGTTCCAACATGTGCAGCCGCACCAGAATACTACTTCATGATTGGAACATATTTTTATTGACATGTCAATTTAGAAGGAGAAAGAGGATCCTATTTATGGGAACCACTCAAGAAATATGTCATACATATATATAATCATCATCCTGAACAAAAAATGCATAGAAAAAGGCAGCATCTATCTATCTATCTATCTATCTATCTATCTATCTATCTATCTATCTATCTGGGGCGGTGAGGGTAGCCTATCTATCTATCTATCTGGGGCGGTGAGGGTAGCCTAGTGGTTAAAGCGTTCGCTCGTCAGGCAGAAGATCCGGGTTCGATTCTACACATGGCCACAATGTGTGAAGCCCATTTCTGGTGTCCCCCGCCGTGATATTGCTGGAATAGTGATATCAGCGGCGTATAACCAAACTCACTCTATCTGTCTATCTACTCTCTCTCTCTCTCTCTCTCTCTCTCTCTCTCTCTCTCTCTCTGTCTCTCTCTCTCTCTCTCTCTCTCTCTCTCTCTCTCTCTCTCTCTCTCTCTCTCTCTACATTCTCTCTCTCATCTTCTCTTTAATGATGTACGCGAACATTCATAAAACAAATCGACTTTGCTGATACTCAACCCGACTAAACTGCAAGAAAACCTCGTTACTTGGTTACCTGAGACTCCCAGACCCCCACCTCCTGTTCAGCGTTTCCTGAGGACAACTACATGGATACAAGTGGCATTCCTCCGTAACCAGGATTTGTTAATCCGGAGTTGTTTTTAATCCCGATGATTTCAAGGGAAAACCTTTCGCCCAGATAACTGAAGCTGAACTAAAGAAGCAACGCTTACAGTGATTTTGTTTCAAAACCACTGCCATGAATTATATACGACACAGTAGCTCTCTGACCCACTTATAGCGGTGATATTTAACTCACTTTGTTAACATGTTATAACCAAGCATATCTATAGTGTGGTGAAGAAATGGGCGTTTGACATTAAACTCTGATACATATTTCATATTGCATTACACACAGATGGTTCAATATATGGGTCTGTGTTTAATACATTTCTGGCGCCTAAGATTATTTGACAAAACCAGTATGTAAAGCGAACTGGTCCAAATGTAAAACAATTTTTTTTGTAACCGAGAAATTACACGTGAAAAACAAAATAATGTCTGGTCAAAGTACTAATGTTTAGCTCCTTAAACCGTCAGTTACAACCTTTCAGTTGGTTGGTTTGTTGTTTAACGCCGCACTCAGCATTATTCCAGATATATGGCGGAGGTCAGTAAATAATCATGTCTGGGCCAGACAATCCAGTGATCAACAGCATGAGCATCAATCTACGCAACTGGGATACGATGACATGTGTCTACCGAGACAGCTAGCCTGACCACCCGGTCCCGTTAGTCGCCTCTTTGGACAAGCATGGGTTGCTGAAGACCAATTCTAACTCACAGGCCCTGGTGTCTTTGCGAGGGTTAAAGATATAGAGAAAATATAAAAGGTTTGAGATGATCCCCGACTCGAAATGCTTCACAGTACAATAAATCATGACTGTCGTGATGTAATTGTACTGTGAAGCATTTCGAGTCGGGGGGTCGTCTAAAAAAATTTTTAAAACCTTTAAGCCTCGCAAAGGCACGAGGGCCTGTGTTCTAACCCAGATCATCACGGGTATACAACCATGCGGCAGCCTAGTCACCTTCCCACCTTATGTTCAAAACATTACATTCCTCTATAACATACAATTATAGATGAGGAGTCAGCAGCAATACTCCGTGACCAAGATAAGCTGATCCGGAAAGTACCTACTCCTGACGTTTTCAGTGCAAAATGCTACCGCTCGGATTAACGGTATTACTTAATAGTGATTTTGAAGTTAATGAAAACGAAGATATTCATTATGAGTTGTAAAATAATAGACTCCAGGCAATATCGATTGGTATATGTAGGTTAAGCATTTTCATACGGCTGTGTACAATGGGACCTCGTTATTCCGGACACTTTCCGAGAATTCCATCTCCCGCCGATCTGATTTAGTATTCCAGCTATATGGCGGCTGCCTGTAAATAATCTAGTCCGGGCCAGACAATCCAGTGACTGATAACTTGAGCAATGCTTTCAAATTTTGTTCAAAGTTAAGTTTTGTTTAATGTGACCTGATGTCGATCACTGGATTATCTGGTCCAGACTCAATTTATTTACAGACCGCCGTCACATAGCTGGAATATTGCCGATCGCGGCGTTAATCAATCAATCAATCAA